TTGACTACGCAGTCTATGGGCGTATTGTCTGGTTGTTGTTTTCTAATCTTGGCTAGCTTGGTTTTGAGGACTCTTCGTCTTTGTTCTCTGTGTTTTTCACTTGACAGTGTAATTGCGGTGATCAGCGTTGACAGGTGTTCCTGGTTGAGGGTTTTCTCTAATTTTGCTTTTTGGATATCTATAATTTGTTGATATTTGTTGATCCGATAATGTGCATCTGTAATCATTAATTTGACCATTCGTCTTCCACATTGTTCGGCCAATTTCCATCCCATTGGGCAGTTGACTGGTGGTTTGTATCTTACACTGTTTGGTAGGATTGAATGACGAAGGCACTCATGGAGAAAGAATAATTGTTCTCTGGTGGATCCTTGCCTTTTGGCGAAGTCTTCCCACTTTCGAACAGAGAGAAGCGTATCCCGCTCGTAAGATTTAGATATTATAGAGAAGATTTGTAGCTCAGGTGGATGATTTTGATGTGGTTTTGTTCTCTGAGCTGGATGGTTAGTTTGCGAAGCTTTCATCACCTTACTGGGTGACATCTTCAGCGCATACTTCAATTTGAAGTGAGCTTTTAGATTTCTCCACGAGTTTATTAATCATCTCTCCTGGTGACCTTGGACGTGATTGGTTGTTTGTGTGTGTTTTCACACCTTCTAGGTTACTTGTATTGGAACCGGTTGTTTCTTTGACTTGAATTTTGACCCTTTGTGTGTGAAGTTTCTTTCTTATTGGTTGATAAATTTTGTCTATGTCGATGTGTCTATTGATTGATGATCCACTGGAATGCCAAGCTTCTAAAAATTCTCTAGCATTCTTGTTATTTCCTTTGTCTAATATTTGAACGTTGTCCCAGTCGAATTGATGTCCGTAGTTGTCTGTGTGTAGTGAAATGAGGGAGTGGATATCATGTCTTTTGACGGCTAGCTTATGTTCGTGGATACGAAGACGAAGGGGACGTCCACTTTGGCCGATGTAGTGTTTTTCGCAGTTGTTACAGTTTATTTTGTAGATGATGTTGGTTTTATCTTCTTTCGCTGTTGAGTCTTTTGGTTGACATAGAATTGAGTGAAGCGACTTTGTTGGTTTGTGTACGACGTCAACTCCTAAAGGTTTGAAGAGTCTTGTAGTGATTTCTGAGATATCTTTTATATATGGTAAGGCAATTTTCTTTGTGTTCTCCTTGGTGGCTTTTGCTTTGGTAGGTTGGCTTGGGGGTATATGTCTCTTGATGAAATTTCGTGGATATCCATTCTTTTGGAAGACGTCCATGAGATACTTTTCTTCAATTTTTCTTAAGGTGGGAGTGCTGCAGTGAGTCCTTGCCCTCTTGAATAGTGTTTGTATGCAATTCCTTTTGTGTGTTATTGGGTTGTTGCTGTTGTAATTCAGTATTTGGTCTGTGTGAGTTGATTTCCTATAAACTTGAGTTTCTAATTCTCCTGTAGTTGTTCGCCTGACTACAGGAGAATTAGAAACTCATGTTTATAGGAAATCAACTCACACAGACCAAATACTGAATTACAACAGCAACAACCCAATAACACACAAAAGGAATTGCATACAAACACTATTCAAGAGGGCAAGGACTCACTGCAGCACTCCCACCTTAAGAAAAATTGAAGAAAAGTATCTCATGGACGTCTTCCAAAAGAATGGATATCCACGAAATTTCATCAAGAGACATATACCCCCAAGCCAACCTACCAAAGCAAAAGCCACCAAGGAGAACACAAAGAAAATTGCCTTACCATATATAAAAGATATCTCAGAAATCACTACAAGACTCTTCAAACCTTTAGGAGTTGACGTCGTACACAAACCAACAAAGTCGCTTCACTCAATTCTATGTCAACCAAAAGACTCAACAGCGAAAGAAGATAAAACCAACATCATCTACAAAATAAACTGTAACAACTGCGAAAAACACTACATCGGCCAAAGTGGACGTCCCCTTCGTCTTCGTATCCACGAACATAAGCTAGCCGTCAAAAGACATGATATCCACTCCCTCATTTCACTACACACAGACAACTACGGACATCAATTCGACTGGGACAACGTTCAAATATTAGACAAAGGAAATAACAAGAATGCTAGAGAATTTTTAGAAGCTTGGCATTCCAGTGGATCATCAATCAATAGACACATCGACATAGACAAAATTTATCAACCAATAAGAAAGAAACTTCACACACAAAGGGTCAAAATTCAAGTCAAAGAAACAACCGGTTCCAATACAAGTAACCTAGAAGGTGTGAAAACACACACAAACAACCAATCACGTCCAAGGTCACCAGGAGAGATGATTAATAAACTCGTGGAGAAATCTAAAAGCTCACTTCAAATTGAAGTATGCGCTGAAGATGTCACCCAGTAAGGTGATGAAAGCTTCGCAAACTAACCATCCAGCTCAGAGAACAAAACCACATCAAAATTGTAGCGTAAGTGTTAATCTGTGGGTATCTTGGATGGAAGGATAATAATACACCAGAAACAAACATTTTTTTGGTGAAAATGTAAAGTCCTGGCTTTCCTGTTCAAAGCCCTACATATGAGTCTACTCCACGACTATGTTGTGAATTCCTTAAGTATGCAGTAACTGTATATTGTTGTAATGTGGTGCTGCTTTAAATTTAGATAGCACCCTAGATTGCTGTAGGTTTCCTACCACCAACTTTCAAGTGACAGAACACCTCGGACGATGAAGAATAAGTTAGCAATTAACTACATTTTCCTCCAAGAACATTTTTGGTTGATCTTGGTGAGAGACAAATCCTGCCTGAAACAAGTGAATTACATAGAGTGCAGTCAAATACAATCTGTCTTCTTAGCATGGTCAGAACCAATGACAAGCATCAGTATTCTCTAAATCAGATGATGATTTATGCAGTTCTCTTACAAATAAAGTAAAAGGGTAGCTCTTCAGCTTTTGAAATATGCTTCAACATACTTTACCTCACAGAATAATGTCAAGTTATTCCAATGATTGTAGAATAAATCTGTCACGAAATAATTGCATAAGTAAAATACGTCTGATACATTCGCTCGCTATGCCTTTGATTAAGTTTTCCTAAAAGGCAGCTATTCCTATCGAAGAGATTTTTTGACACAGATTTGATGAGAAAGACCTGACCGATGAAATAAAGTGCACTTTGTGTCTATCCTTTTCAAAAGAAGCCGCTATAAATTTTCGTAAGTACAGATTTGCGTGATCAAGTTGAAGTAAAATAATTTTGATGTCTTATGTCAGAACTTTCATAATTTATCTTTGACAAACACCAAAAAAGTAAAATGCATTTACTTCAACAAAACAGCACCTGAAGTTCAAACGAAAGGCATTAGCTGTAAGATCAGGGATTTAGCTTTTCAACTTTACTCTTCTCGAGATTAGTTTACAGACGTTCGAATTTCTGTACCACTGAATTCCTTTCCAGTGACTGAATATTCAACAGATCAGTCTCTTAACCTGGAAATGACTGGATTCAGTCACCCGTGTAATCATTGGTACGCACTCCTGAAAATTCCCAGACTAGTAGCATACTTTCGCCTATTACTCCCAAGTTGTTAGTGATTCTGTCACTGATATCACTTTATGATCAAACATGAAATCAAAATGAACCACATGAAATAACTGCTGAAAAGATGTACTGATCTCATGTCAACGACAGTTGGTGTCGACACTGTCTTGGACTATTTAACGGTTAACATGAATTCAGTGACTGACCAGCTGGAACGTCTTTCTTGTCACAGTGTTGTAGGAAGGAACAAACTAATCACAAGGTAAAATATTCGTGAATAAAGAAACATCACTGAATCGACGTTTTTACAAGACATTTATATTTTCCAGAAAGAAATGAATAGATGATTGGAATAGAGGACAAATAAATTGTTCTAATGCTAGGGAATCCAAACTAACCTGTGTATGAGAGGAAAAAGTAAAACGCGAAATTTATTAAACTGAATAATGCCAATTAAACTTCTAATCCTCATGCCGATGAATGAGATCCGGACGGAAAGTGACAAGTTCAGCATCAAAGAGTGACAAGCACAAAATCAAATGAAGAAGAAGATGAAAGCTTATGAGAAGTAATAGAGTCAACTAAAAGTGATAGCATATAGAATGGACTCACAATAACGATAAACTGTCAACCTAATCGCTAAAAAAACTTCAACCCACACAAATACATATAAGTTAGACTTATTTATCTTTGATATCAGACAGACAGACTAAAGTGGGCTGGTGATAACCTTCATGAGGCAAGTCAATCGGTGCCAGACATTTACACAAACTGAGAGAATGACTATTATGATGTTACCAACATAATTGTAGGCTGTTATGCTGTGGGAGTCAATCTCCTCCAGGATGACGAAAGCAGAAATAAACTTATATGTTGAAACGTTATAAAATTCTAATGTTACGCACACTGTTACAACCAGCACAGAGCTAATATAGAGGAAGGAAGCCTACGACAGATAATTATGGATATGAAGTTGGATGGTGATATCAACATCCTAATAGGTTATGTGAATGTCAAACAGGGAACAATCAACACAGGATGAGAAAAAATCATAAGTCCGAAGGCTATCGGTTAAATGAATGAGCATGGTAGACTCTTCACAGATTTTTGAGCCTTCAGTGATTTGTCATTTTGAAGCACAAGTATATGCACAACGCCACATGGGTTTCGCCTGGGTGATACATCAGACAAACTTCATCTCACTCTCAGGATATAGAAGGCGCAGCCTGCTAGGCATAAACTGAGAAGAGGCACACATATGTAGTGCGATCACTGTCTTGTGTAAGGGTCAAGTTGAAGGCCTTCAGAGAAGCTGGAGATAGACCAGAAAGTTCAAATTCAAAACCCTGAAACTGATGAACGAAACTACAGCCGTCAGACAAAGGTCAGAGACATTATTCAGCATCATTGAGGAAAACAGTGTGGAATTGAACATTTTAGCTGTCTTAGAATGTGTGAAGGAATATAAAAAAGAAATGATCAGCTACGCATACTTGATGCCAACCCCACCAGTGGTGTACCTACCGTTGCAATCAAACTGTGGCAAAAGATGCTTCGAAATCCCGACACTCTCAAAACAATATGGTAGACAATATATGCTGCTTTGTCGACTCTTGAAGGTTCTCAGCGTTTCACTTTATATCATATCTGAGGTGGTGAGTGACTGTGAAGAGAGGAGCGTCTTCTTGATGAACTCTAGCTTATCAATAAGCCACTATCCGAAATCTTACTTGAAGTGTAGGTGGTGTGAAACGCATCTTCAGCTACATCTACGAACAGATTCCTCCTGTTCTCAATATCTTCTTGCAGAATGTTACCCATGAAGCTGTGACACATACACAGCATACCAAAAGAAAGCCTTTCATAGTTTTGGTTATTGTGTTTGATTTGGAACACCAAGGTTGTAGTCTGTAAGATTTCAGCGGTTAATTTTGTACTTGCTTGGTCGTTATGAATTTTAGCTTTATATGAAGCCGTTAACAATGGCTGAAAACCAAATTTACTAGAGGGGAAACAGTCTAGTATCATTACGCAGGTAATTTAATTTAATGCACCATGTTCCTGGTCTGTTATATAGTCAGTAGTATCCAAATTTTCTATGAGCATAGTCATCTGGTGTAGTGCAACAAAACTGCTGTTGTGAAGAATGATTCCCTTAGGTTGAAATCTCTGACTCAGTTGTCAGTCAGACGAGAATTTGAATGATGCGTGATGAGGATGATAAAGATCGATATTAGGCGATATGAATTTTTCATGCCTGAGTGAGCAGGTTGTATCAGGTCGAAGAAATCATCCGATCGGGATGAATTTTCGGGATGTGCGGATGCATCATACTACATACATTTCATCCCGGTAGATAGTTATGCTCCAATATTTGCTAGTGTGAACATTCTTATGGCGCACAAGTGACGTTTGCGAATCCAGTTGATGCGTTTATTCCTGTAATTCGTCAGATTGGAAGTCAGCGTATTGACCAGTGATAAGGCAGATTATTTGGCGTTCAGATTTCATGTCCGAAAAGTTGGTGGTCTACTTACATACTACTCAGTAGTAATCTATGTCATATTCATTAAAAAAACGTGTCAAGTAATTTTTATTATTCAGTAATAAAAATAAAAGTAATTATAATGCTAATCACTTTAAAGATGTTTGCCGTTGTCAGTGAGTGACCAATAGAAAATGACTGGATTTATTTAACTGATCATAACCATATTGATTTCTTTGAATAATTGTTTATGCATAATGATGTGTGTTCACCGAATTCGATAAATAATATTTCCGGTAATGTGTGAATGAAATAATAGAGAAGATTTGTAGCTCAGATGGATTATTTTAAATTAGTTGTGCTCTCTGAGCTTGTTGGTTTAATTGAGAAGCTTTCATCATTCCCCTCCTGAACAACATCTTCAGCACAGGTTACTGGAATAAATTTAAATTCTTCATGAATGATAGAATTGAGTTTCCTGGCAATCATCTTCGTAACTGGTAGTCGATTTACATCTGTGGTGGTCACTTTTATTACTGACTTGGATTCTGAACTTTCTCGTCACATGATTTAATCCTTAATATTTGGTAGATTCGGTATATATTAACATGTTTGTTACTCGCTGATTCGCTTGAGTGTCAGGCTTCTAGGAACTCCCTGGCAGTGTTTTTGGTGTTTCCTCTGTTTTAAATTTCGACATTACCCCAATCACCAAATTGGCGTCCATAATTATCTGCATGCATTGATATAAAAGAATAAATATCATGTGTTTTTACCGCTAATTTATGATCTTGGATTCTGAATAGAAGGGGATGCCCATTTTGGTCGATGCAATGTTTATTGCAGTTCATACAGTTTATTTTGTAAATGGTATTGATTTGATCTTCTTCTTCTGTTGGATCTTTCTCTTTTCACAACATCGAATCATGTGACTTGGGTGATGTCAAAATCTTAAATTGGGGAAACACCAAAATTACTGCTGGAGATTCCCTAGAAGTCTGATACTCAAGCGAACCAGCGATTAATAAACACATTATTATAGACCAGATTTACCAACTAATAAAAATTAAATCATGCAACGAGAAAGTTCAAAGTCCAAGTCAATAGTAAAAATGATCAATAGAAACGTAAATCGGCTACCAGTCACGAGGATGGTTGTCATGTGACACAATTCTATCATTGATAGAGAATTTATATCAGTTTATTTTATGTTAAACCCTACGCTGAAGATGTTGTCTAGAAGAGGGACGACAAGAACTTCTCTATTTAATCAACCACCTGAGAGAACACAACTATCTCCAAAGTGTGAACGTCTGAAATTACACACCAGTTGCTTGCATCTCAGCAATCACAGGAATTTATTTTATGCAGATAAGAAGGATGTTGTCTTATTTTGACAAGTGATCTGAGTCATCATCTTTGCCGGGCGTGTTTTCCCTTGATGAAAACTGCGAAGCGACCTATGAATATGTGTAGATTTTCTCAATAGTCTTTCATTCCCACTGTCTCATGTTGGACTCTGAAGAATAAACTTGAATAGCACATTTAGTATACTAGATCTTTGAGATGCAAGTTAGAAAGTTGTATGCACAATTTCATCTAATTATAAGGAATAACTTGTATTCCGAAGATAATCAATATCAAACTATGTATTTTCGAGTATTGGTTTTGTAGGGATTTCGTTTGATTGCATGGAGGATTTAATCATGAGCTGACGTCATTTAGAGAACCACTGGAAATCCTGGGAGTATTGGACAGCTGTTTCGCCCTAGTTTGGGACTCTTCATCAGTACGCACCCACCGGGATTCGAACCCAGGACCTTCTGGTTACAAGGCGAGCTCGTAGACCATTGAGCCACTGGGACGCGATCCAATGGTCCTTGAAATCTAACTTCTGCCAGTTCACGACATAGCGCGACCACCTCACAATGTCTTCTTCGATGAGTTACTGCCTTATCTTCAACCTGCTGACATTGTGAAGTGGTCGCGCTATGTCGTGAACTGGCAGAAGTTAGAATTCAAGGACCATTGGATCGGGTCCCAGTGGCTCAATTGTCTACGAGCTCACCTTGTAACCAGAAGGTCCTGGGTTCGAATCCCGGTGGGTGCGTACTGATGAAGAGTCCCAAACTAGGGCGAAACAGCTGTCCAGCACTCCCAGGTTTTCTACTGGTTCTCTAACTGACGTCAGCTCATGATTAAATCAGCTCCATGCAATTAAACTATATATGTTATTTTGAATAATGTTCATCTATATTAATGCTCAAGTTCAACTCTCAAAACAATAATGCCTATGGACATTTTATTGAGAAGGCGAACACCGAATAAACACTATCTTCGGGTTATGGTGTCAGTTGAGTCATTGAACCAATTTTCAGGAAAGAATGCCTCATCGCTAATATCAGGATCTATCACTTTGTCAAACTGTGCTATGTCTATTAATATTCTGATGATTCCAATTAAACATGGTAAATCCTCGGCGCTTTTTATTACAATTCAGTATCCGTTACACTGTATTTACCTATAAACTAAATCTTACCTAGTTCACGAGTTTTTAATTAGACTTTTCAAATTACTAACTTTATTTCAGTTCACTCAACAAAATTATTTTACATAAATAAAGAATATCTCAAAGCATGCGGCAGTCCTACGATCACTCAAGATCGTTGATGCCTAATTATCTCTTATAAGTATAAGCCACTAATTTAAGTGCCTTGAATCCATTCATTATAGTAAAGGTTTTCTGCTGAAGAAGATTTGTAGCTCAGGTGGATGATTTTGATGTGGTTTTGTTCTCTGAGCTGGATGGTTAATTTGCGAAGCTTTCATCACCCTACTGGGTAACATCTTCAGCGCATACTTCAATTGTAGGTTTTATTTTCCGTTTTACCCTTTTTTTCTTTTTTTTTTTTTATTGAAATTCAAAAAAACACAATTATAAAAAAAGAATAAAAAGGTTTTCTGCATTTCCCAGTCAATGAAAACCAAAACGATATTGCCGACTTCACTGAAGTTTCGTCATTTATTGCTAATAGCTGTATCAAAGTAGTATTATTTAACCAGAATTGACAAAATCCACTCAGCTTACAATATATAACAACTTCATCATCATTCCTCAGCATGAGGTCATTTCTGCGTTGTCAAGTTGGCCAGTCGGTAAAGATAACAAAACCCGGTGTAGATTATTGTTGGAATTGATAAATGTGCAAAAATTGTTAAAGCAGCATGTGTTTACATAATGAAATTGCTTATCACATTGGTGTTGATTTTGTCACTTCATGGGGCGAGTAGGGGTGTTGTAATCAGGTCAAATTCTGTTCCACTCCGTTATTCCTATTCAGACAATTTGGATTCCATTTGATTATATGAAGTGCTTTTGACGGTATAAGACGTTTCTTTGTGATTTCCGAAATGCTTTTTCTGGATGATGATTTCAATATTTTCAGAATCAATTTTGTGGCCTGATTCTATAGCGTTTAGACAAGCTATGGCTGGCTGATTACTTTTCAAGCTTTTCGATTTATTTGCTTTTTAGCCTTCGGATCATCACACCCCATCAGTGCAAAGATTTTGGTTGTTTCAACTCTTCCTAGACGAGCAGACGTTTTGATGTTAACGGATGAAAAGGGAAAATAAGAAGAAATATCAATCATTATTGAGACTCTCAAGCAAAACAATTACGCGGAGAACTTCCGAAAACATAGACCTCAACTGTTGTCATTCAATTTACAGCGGAGAGGTCAGAGGATATCAGAAGAGTACTCAATAAGCTCGACATCAGAGTTTTTTTTTGAAAACAACAGACTTACACACTACATAGCAACCTTGTCTTCCATATAAAAGACCAAATCCCTAAAGATTCTCTAATTAATTGTGTTTATAAAATATAATGCTTGGAATATGATGCGATATACATCGGACAAACACCGCCAGAGAAGAAATGAACACCGTAGAGCGTCTGTTCGACTAATTACCAAGAAATCCACTTAGTGAACTAGAAAAGTTTGAAAAATCATCAGCCATAGGTGGTGCTCCACACGTTATAGAATCAGGCCACATAATTGATTCTGAAAATATTGAAATCATCATCCAGAAAAAGCATTTCGGAAATCACAAAGAAACGTCTTATACCGTCAAAAGCACTTCATATAATCAAATGGAATCCAAATTGTCTGAATAGGAATAACGGAGTGGAACAGAATTTGACCTGATTACAACACCCCTACTCGCCCCATGAAGTGACAAAATCAACGCCAATGTGATAAGCAATTTCATCATGTAAACACATGCTGCTTTAACAATTTTTGCACATTTATCAATTCCAACAATAATCTACACCGGGTTTTGTTATCTTTACCGACTGGCCAACTTGACAACGCAGAAATGACCTCATGCTGAGGAATGATGATGAAGTTGTTATATATTGTAAGCTGAGTGGATTTTGTCAATTCTGGTTAAATAATACTACTTTGATACAGCTGTTCGCACTAAATGACGAAACTTCAGTGATGAAAGCGGTAATATCGTTTTGGTTTTCATTCACTGGGAAGTGCAGAAAACCTTCATTATAATAAATGTCATATACGCGATGCGGAAATGTTTTCAAGTTTTTTAAATTGAACTTGTTTTGGACATATACATCTTGAATTCATGATAAGTTATTTATTAGCAGGTATGAAAGTCTTTTATTTGACTCATATTTCCGATGACTGGCTCGAGATTTCCTAGGAAATGTACGTAACACTTAGCGATTTTAAGTTGAATGTCCTGAAATTCTAATGTGAATCATGGCTGTCTCTTGGCTGCTCCAAGTCACTGTGAAATGGCATTCGTTCACGACAGCTTTATATAAATTTTTTTTGATCTACAGCTTGATTCCACACTGTATTTTTCGTACAAATGTGCATGGTCGGCGAGAGTCCTAACCACTGTGCCACTGACGCTCGTAATGAACACATAATTCAAATTGACAGAAATTAGACGATGTAGATCACTGAATTCTCAGTGACTCATTGACTGATTGATTGACTGTCTGGTCATATAACCCAAAGTTTTTATGTTTAATCCCATGTACGTATGAGGTATGGTTGCGTATTGCTTACTGGTAAAGTTCCAAACACGGGCAAAACAAGTGACCAGTACTCCTTTGCTTTCAGGGATGTCAGTTCCTTGAACGAGAAACAAAAGAGTTATATAAATTAATTAATTAATTCAATATATTGTAATTATCACAATTATCAGCGACCAACAAATATATATATATATATATGTATAGGTGTGTGCGTGTCAGACAACGAAGTCAAAAATAGAAGAAACGAAACATCACAATACGAATAATCAATAATAATAGTCATCAAAAGCACAAAAAGTGAATATCACTCAACAATGAACACTGAATATGGCAGAATATATATGTATATATATATACGTGACTGGGAAACTGAAAACTGGAACACGTTCTTTCAAGTAATATCACAAATTAAAATAATAAAAACCATGAACAAAAATAAACAACAAAAAAAACACATTGCAACAAGGACAAATGACTAAAGTGTTCACTGTCGAAAGCGTATAATTTCAAAAAGATGACAGTGCTTAGAATGCTTTTTTCAGGGATGTTTAGAGTGAAGCAGATTTACCAAACAGAAGTGATGTGAATCTCTTCCAAGGATGTGTCATATAATAATAATAATAATAAAAAGGGATAATTCATTCTGTAATCAGACGACCGAGAGTGACAGCGAATTGAGAGAAGGGGAGGAATAAAACGAACACAACAAACATAAGCAGGAACATACTGACTGGCTACAGGAAGACAAAGACAAATAGTAGAGATCAACTGCATTTGTGTATGATAGAGAGAGAGAGAGAACAGCATCTTTGATCCTCTAAAATGACTCAGTTTTTAATAATTATTAATATTATTTCTTTGGCGAATTCGCTGTGGTTTCTTCAGCTGTTGGCTTTTCAGCATTTTCAGTTTTCTCTTCTTCAGGCTAAAATTTATAACATAAAATAGAAACATTATATGGTTAGAAAAATGAAAATCATTCATATTTACACACATGTGAAACCACAGAGATTTAAGTGTGAAGCTACTGCTTTTCAGAGTTGGGAGTGATCTAAGCGAAGAAAGTCGTTTTTCAGTTTACTGAAGTGGGATTTAATAAAGTGATTCACTAAATTCCCATCACATTCTATGCATACCATTCCCTTTGGATTCCGAATTAAATATAAGGTTTCATCAGCGCACTTCTGTTTCCACCTGTCAGCCTAAGCTTGCGCCACAATTGCCATACGATTTATCTACTCTGTGTTACCCTCAAGTTGATGCCCAACTCAATATTTACCGTTTCAGTTTCACTGGACAGTACTCAAAGTTTATCGTCCTCATTTTCCCAGTTTGTTAGGCTATAGGTTCTTAGTTGGTTCTATTCCTTTATGAAGACCAGATTTATAATTTTCTGTATGGAATGAAAGAAACCGTCAACAGAAGTCCAAAGCAGACTTTAAGAAATCCCCCCCCTCCCAGTGACAATTGCATCAAGTGCCTGGATCATATAGAAGCAGTGAATGATTTGATATTAGAGTTGAAGGTCTCAGTCTGGTTCTTTGTCCAGAGTGTGACAGCTTTCCACGTGGATTTCAGATTATTGAAGGTCTGGTTTGCTCTTTCGAATTCCACTGGATTCTACAACTTCGTCCAAGGCACCGCCAGAAGTTGAGACTTTACTGTCTAAATCCTTGTAAGTGGTAACATCCTTTTGACTTCGCCTATGATGGTTACTATCCCAATGATTTTAGTGTATTTGAAGATACAATGGTCGACAACAAAATTGACACTAGAAGCTAAGATGATAATGAGAAATCATCGTACACACTTTCGACTCATATTAGTTGAAAAATTCTGACGTAAAATATTTATCCATGTCATGCTTCACTGGCCATTATTGTGGAATATTCATAAAAATAACTTATACATCTTTGATGTAATAAGTAGAAAGTGAAACCTAATCAGACCTCTTGTAACAAGACTATGCGGTACTTGCACGTGAGATAGATTAAACAAAAAACTGAAGTGCTTTGGAAACACTCCTAGTCCAAGTAGCTATCCATCGGCACCGTGTCGGTTGCACAGCGGTACAATGCTTGCCAACCACATAGGTGCTCCAGAATTCGATTCCCAGCTGACGCATTCTTTTATTTCGCTGAGCCAGTAATAAGATTGGTAAAGAGAAAAGGTCGGGCATGAGGTTAGCAACCCCATCCCGTAAAAAGCGCACACCACTGCAACTGAAGCGTCAAGTCACTGGCTTGAGGTCCCAGCTAACTTAAGTCTTTCTATTGGCAACAGTTGCATTTCAGACAGTATTTATGGCACAGTGTGGAATCTGAACACGTAGGTTAGCCATGGCATACTTTATGTATTTTTCATCACAAAAATTACATAATAAAAACGCTTTTGTTGACATTTTATGTTATGCAGTCCTGGGAAAGCTGGGAATAAAGACGGCAATAAATTAACCTGTGCCAATTCCATTTATGATTTCAAATGCTTGTCAACAATGGTAGCAACGTGTCGGCTTAGAATCACACCATATATTCAATTGACAGCTATTTTTGTCGTTTTCAAGGTTACAAAGCCATTTTTGATAGCTTATTAGACGTTAAGGGAAAGTAGAATGTCTTAAACGCCTTACATTGGAGATTAGAAGAAGAAATCTTGTTCTAGTAAATAACAAGAATGTGGGACATCGAGAAAAAAAAATATGGGAAAAACATTATCCTAGATATTCGACTTTTGAATCAATTTCTGCCTAATTCCCTCTATTTTATGAAAACCATGGGAATATACCAGTTCATATAAGTCTAGTTTGTGCCTTAAAGGAGAAATTAATAATCTGACGTTTGGAAAGAGTTTTGGCCTAAGACACCTTGACAAGAACCACTGGCTTATTCTTGATAAAAAACTATTCAATCTGTAGAAAACTGATTCAGATGTAACAGAATTGGAAACGGCCAAATCATCAGAATACTGAAAAAAAGGAGTAAGAACAATACCCTACTGAACACCGGATTCAGTAAGCAATGGCAGGTTTATGGGTGTTTAATTGATTTGGCGTGAAATTCTCTACCACCGGGATATATATGTTTTCCTGTCATTGAGAAGAGTTTAGTTTAGTATTCCAAATTCCATCTTATATAAATTTGTGAGTCATTCGTTGTTGAACGTCTTGAACCAGGATATCACCTTTAAATTGTAGACTTTCACTTGCCTTCTCTTAAGTTCCAATTCATGAATTCATCAAAATCCATGGTATTTACTTCATGTTTGATATTGTTTACATTATTCAATAACGTCTACAAATCTCACTTCATAATAATTCAAATTTTCGAATGGACTTTTATCTAGTTCCGTGAAATTTTTAAAGAAAATAGAGGTAGAACACTATTTAGTGTTTGAAAATGCTAGGGGTAGTACAATATTCCTTAAGACGATATGTTATCCACTAATATATTTTTTTTTGAAGTTTCCTACAAGGCGTAAGTACCCTGAAATGAAACACGCTGAAATCTTTGTATCATATATAAACGCAACTTTTTCACAATAAAGTTTTTGTCGTTAATTATTCATCTGATATATTTTCTGAAAGTAGTCCTGATTTCTGATTGGGTGATTAATGTTCAAATTTGAAACTGAAATTTAGATCACGGCAGTATACGAAGCGGAAGTCGGAATTCTTAGTCTGCTATCTGAGACAAGAGATCAGACCACCACTAGGTCATTATTTCACCGCAATTAACACAACAAGTATCCAACTTCTTCTCACCATGTGAATGAATGACAGGCTACTTTCCGTTTATCATCAACTTAGCTATTCATTTAGGTTTCCTGATATCAATCATAACTAATTAGAAGATGCGTGGGCTGTTAGTTTGATACTGAGTCTACTTAGGACCATCTTGGGTTGGAGGATTTTGATTGCTGCGGGGAAATAGCACCTTTTTTGACAGTTGAAACGTATTGCTCAGTTATTAGACTGGCTAACTAGTGATTCAGAAGTCACTGATTCGAATCTTGTAGTCGTCTTGAATTTCATTTCACCTTCGGTCGTCACCTTTCAAGTCAAGGAAGTTCTGTCTGCAAACGTCATCTGAGTTAGTCTCACATGCACTTACAGCAGCAAGTACATAATACGGACTGAGAGGAGACCTTCTAGAAGATTTTCCAAGATAACTCCTAAAAGTCTGAGTTTGAAAAGCAACAAAATGTTGTCAAGTGCAATCAACAGACACTTAATTGACATGAATAACACGGTAGAAATTAGTCAAGCTTTCAAAGTAATCAATACAGAAGGGCACCCATCGTTACTTTGGTTCAAAGAAGCCATTGTCATCGAAAGATCTTAACCTAGTCACTATGTACAGAAATATAGCGTTACCAATCTCTCATTGCCTGGGCAACCGTAATTGTCTTGTTTGTGTGCTTTTGTGATTTTTTTTTCAGTTGCGTAACATTTCATTTAATTTTGATTTCACTCACTGATTGAACTCATTACTAAGTTTCCGAATCTACTCAGTTGTTTTGTCTATGTTATAACTTTACAGTACTATTCACCGCCACCCTGTCGAACTCTCCGTCATAACATGTATAAACTCACTCAGGTCTCCTATCTTGTGTTTTATCTCAAGTAAATCCTTGTTTTCAAGCCACATCTGAAATCTATCCATCCCGCCTAATTATTCTTTAAATAGTCACTATTCTAGCACTGAGTAATTCATGAATTTACATCGGTTTTCTTTGGAATTATTTTGCCCATACTTTCTATCTGTAGCTCTAAGTCATTGATTCAGTTCAGGATGTGTGCGGATGAAGAGAATTCACGAAAGAAAACCAGCTTGTATTATCCTGCCTGAAAGTATGTCCGTAGTCTCTTTAGTCAAACTAATAAAGTCAACTCGTTGTATAAAATCGAGGATAGAATCCACAATGGTTTCCTTTGAAAAGCAAAACTATTCAGATTGCATAGTATGTGATTTCCTCGATACCATTATTAGCAAAACATTAAATCTTTCGGAAGGTAAATTGCAACAAATGTGAAAAAGATTATATTTGTCAAAATAGACATCTTCTTAACCTTAGTATTCCTGAACATAAAAGTAGTTGTCAAAAGGCGTATTATCCATTCAGTTATATCGGTGCATTCAAACAACTATGGACACACACATCCTAGGGAATTTCTAGAAGCCTGGTAATCAAATGAATTTGTAGTCAATAGACAGACTGGCATACAGCAAGTGTCAAAACAGAAAGTTATTTAGACAAAATGTCAATTATCAGGTTATCGAAGCTGTAAATGAATGTGAAAATTGAACATTGGTTCATTGACCTTGGTCGCCATCGGAGGGCAACTCGAAGGCACAAATGATTTAGTCATGTACAGGTTGGAAGAAGGTGAGGGAATACGAATAAAAGTACGGTGCATTCCTTGTAAAACATTTGTTTATAGACTTTGTACTGAGTATTAACTTTAACTGTCGGAAAATACGATCTGTTGTAATTCATTGTGTTTTGGAGGTAAAGTCAATCTTGTACTCAGTATAATTGTCGATTTGGAGCTTCTTCGGAAATAACAGGAACTTAGGGTTACGTTTCTTGACAGGAAGTGATCAGTTCAAACAGAATACAGGGTGAATAAACCTTCAGAAATAACCAGTCATATTCAAAGCTAACTGGCAAGATTACCGATAAAATCGTGGAAAAATCTAAAATCCCGCCTTCAAAATAAGGTCTGAACTGATGATGGTGTCTACAAGAAGGGCAATAAAAGCATTGTGATTTTTACCATCCAAACTACAGAACACAACTACACTTAAAAATATAATCGGTCGAAATATTTTAATGATACATACTACTGACTAGTGGATTTGAGTAGTATGATTATTATTTATTATTTATTTTTGATTACAGCTTGATTCCACAATGTATTTTTGGTACAAGTATGAAATTTTCAGCGTGGATATCGGTAGCCCAAATTTTGCAGGCCGACCATAGATATCAGGTGTGCGTCGGCGTGGGCTCGAACTCCGGACCATGTGCATGATCGGCGAGAGTCCTAACCACTGTGCCACAGACGCACATCCATCTGTCAATAATAGCTGCTGAACAGATTAACTTTGAATTAAACACCAGACAACCGTTGTTTCTATTGGTAACACTAATTAAAACAAACTAGTGACTTTGGGTATAGACTCACACACACACATACACACAGAATTGTTGAACACGTTTACAAACAGAAGTAAGACAACAGCAAAAACAAAAAACAATTTGGAGAAATTGTTTTAATGAATCCAAAAAAACTCACTTTCACTTCTTTCATCTTTGGAATCAGTACAACTTTTCCAATATTTTTTCTTTCTTGTAAACGCATCATTGCCTCTTTAGTCTAGGGATTATGAAAAACAAAATCAAATACACATCATATATGTATACACGAGGAGATTAGATTAGATAATAAAAAATGCATAGCGTTATCCATCATATGAATTAGTATGCACTATTATTAAACATAAAAGGCGGCAGAGAATGATACGAAAAGGTGATATTTTCATTAAAAAAAACACTTAGTATATTGACCATAAATATCTATAAAGTACTAAGTAGCATCATAAGTGTTAATGTATACCCTGTCTAGAACAATGAGTATAAGTAATATATAACGGTGGTTCAATGGTATGATGTTCTCTGGCCACTCTAGAAGTCTAGATTCGATCGGGGGGCAACACATCCCTTAACCTGGTAAACTCAATTAGCCCTGGGAAAAGAGGAAGGATAGGCTTGAGGCTAACAGCTCTATCAGGTAAAATAACAACGTCACGACTACTCATAGCCTCCAGAATGGACCATTGAGTCACCTGTCAACCCAACCAAGCTAAACGTTAATCAGATCTGACCAGTTTGATTGCAGCGGACAGACAGCAGTGCTAGTCAAGTTGAACACCCTGAGACAGTACACTGACTAGCGACACATGATAAGCGCACCACATATACCCACCCACCATAGGCAGGCACCCGTAGTTAAGCAAACATTAAAAGCCGACCAATATGTCAAAGTACAAATCATGCTTATCAGCTGAATTCCCAACCATCACAGCTAACCTCCGTGTGTTTTCACGCATTGTTTACAGTCTCTATAAAGTGATTTTCAACTTTCCCTCACGGTACTTATTTACTATCGGACTCGTGCCAGTATTTAGCTGTGGATGTACTTTACCACCCACTTTGGGCTGCATCCTCGAGCAGCCCGACTAGAAGGTTAGCTCTGAACAAAACTGTCATGCTTGGTCTCCATCCCACGAATCTTTCACCCTCAGAACTGTATGGAAATCTGACGTTCCACTCGGAAGGCGACGTATAAACACAGAGCCGTTCTGTTCATTTTCTCACCCTCCTGCCACTCTTTAACCGCAGAAAGGATGAGAAAAGCTAGAAGAAAATTATTCTATGTTGAGACATCAGTTTTTTGATAAAAAGCATTTTGAATACATGAATAATTCCTATCCGGACATTAATCAAAACAAAACACGTAATCCAGCGAACAGCCTTTTTTCGGCGAATTCATTCGCTTAGCTGTGTGTGAATATTAGGTCTGTCCGATAAGAATAAAAGAATAACTTAAGGTTATTGCTCATTATAATAAAGGTGTTTTGTATTTCCCAATAAATAAAAAAACAAAACGATATCGTTTTTACTGACGTTTCGCTTTTTAATGCTAATAGCTTTCTCAAATCAGCTCGGCATCGGAGTTTTCTTCAAAACATCAGACACGCTTCAAAGCAACCTTGTCCATATAAAAGACCAAATCCTGAAAGATTCTCTATCTAATTGTGTCTATAAAATAAAATACTTGGAATGTGAGGCGATCTACATCGGACAAACATCTCGAGAAATCAAAATCAGAAGAAAAGAACAGCGAAGAGAATCTCTTCGACCACCGAGTAATCCAGTTGAACTAAAAAACTTGAAAAATCATCAGCCATAGGTCTACATGCTATAGAATCAGGTTACAAAATTAATTTTGATACTGTTGAAATAATCCAGAAAAAGCATTTCAGGAATCACAAAGAACGTCTACTATCATCAGAAGCACTTCATCACCATCAGATGAAATCCAAATTGCCTGAATAGGAATGATGGACTAAAACAGAATCTGACCTGGTTACAACACCCCCTCCCCCATGAAGTGGCAAAATCAACACAAATGTGATAAACAAGTTCACTATGTAAACACACACTACTTTTATAATTTTACACAGTGATAAAATCCAACAATCTACACTTGATTTTGTTGTCTTTACCAATTCTCCAACTTGACAACAAAAAACGACCCAGACTAACGAACGATGATCAAGTTAGTAAACTTTGTTTTGATATAATAACAGATATACTATTACCTTTGATATTTGGTTTGAACGATCTTCATTGTTATTTTGACTTTCAATATGTCCTTTTAAGTTGAACTAAGTCTATATTTTTTCTCACCCCCTAACTCTTTGTTATATATATATATATATATATATGCTGAGATTTTGTAAATTCCGGTTTAATAATACTTTGAGAAAGCTATTAGCATTAAATAGCGAAACGTCAGTAAAAACAATATCGTTTTGTTTTTCATTCATTGGGAAATACAAAAACCAATACTTGAAAGTACAAAAACCTTTATTATAATGAGTATCATATACCCAATGCCCAAATTTCTCAAATCGTTAAAAGTGAACTTGGTTTGGACACATATAAGGTTATTGCTGTAATGACATTTCAAAAATCTGATCAGTATTCAAATTGTAACTAGGAGGGGGTGAAGACTGGTCAGAGGTCATTTTGAATAGACGATAGCACAAACTTGACCCGATGATTACTGTTCATTCGCAATTATCATTATTATGATTATCTAGCTTACAAAAGGAATCGTGTCAACACCCACTTAATCAAATGGTCAAAATTATCGTGAATATAATATCTTTCCAATTAATCACGATAAATTTCAACAGCTGATAGGCATTGACAATCCAAGCTATTCATTTCTACTCACCACTGTAATGTAGCGTTACTCATGGTGTCTGACAGTGTATGAATATGTGTACGTGTTTTTCTATGTGAGAAGTAAGGTACATATTTGCTTCGATTACACTTCATGCCTCACTCTTTCTATCACTTTTCTTTGCCCAACATAATTTTCTTAATAAATGCAACACTTACCGTCAGAGCTTAAAATAGATCAAATTTTCGATTGTCTAGAATTTGTGTTTTTTATATTGTATAACTTCCACTAACTGTTAAACGAGCTCAGTTAAGGAAAGGTGTTAGTAATTCTACCGATTCGGCATTCAACTAATTCAGTAGCCACTTGATTGGTAATAGTTTACAGTTGAATTTAGGGTGAACGTTCCGCCCAATTTATGAATCATAAATTGGACGTGTCTTCACAAAAATAGGTAATAATAATTCGAACTCGGACTCAATATCCATCTTTTCAATACCAAAACAGCGTCTACTAGGCCAGTGAGCAGCGAGGGCTTCCTCTGGTTTCGTAAGGATAGGTTGCTATTTGATGAAATTACTACTTTCGAATTTCCCACAGATCGATTTTTATGGGATCGAAGTCATCCGGTGTTTGAAATGTTGAATGAATCTAATTCTGAGCGCAAGAACTATCAGCCTATAGGGCTTAGATACATCCACCTGGCAAGCATTAAAATAATCAGATGAGTGTTGTGAATTCCGCTTCTAGACACCATCTATCACAAATCACTCTGACCACCGTGTAATGTACTGACAAGTCAACAAAGGCAAAGTACTTTGTTCCAAAAAAATCGATGAGAGAGTAAACTGAATACTTTTGAGGATATCGAATGAAATTCGGTGAACGGCTATGAAGCGCGTTGATTCAACAATAACCTCTTTTTCATCCTAAATCACCAGTCTATCAACTTAACTATGGCTTTACTATTGATATTGATATTTTTTGTTCACTTATCTCAGAGACTACACCATGTTCTGGATGCAGACCCTCCTTCAGAACAAGCAGGGTTCAGAAAAAGTGAATCAGGTGCAGATTAAACCGAAACTCTACGCATTTTCATTAAACACATCATAGAGTGGCAGTCAAATCTCTATCTACCTCAACTTGATTGCCTTATCGGCGGCCTGCTTGAACATAGGGCTACCAAAAATTCCACCTTACAACATTTTGCAAAATTGCTTTGGTTTGCTCTTTTAATTTTGTTTTAATTTATCAATAATGTGTCCTAATCGTATTATATATAATCGCGCATTTTTAAAATCATTACAACCTACCGCGTTGTGTCATCCACAAAAATTGAGAAAAAAGCATCACTGTGGCTGGCAGCGTGCACTGAAACGTACACAAATTAATCAAATGACTGTTCCTGAACTCGTTAGCACTAATTGTAGATCCCTGTCCAACAAAATGGATTACCTTCAATCCCTAATGTATTCCAATGTTTATCGAAATGCTGGCGTTTTAGCAATACAAGAGACTTGGCTGCACCAGCATTATGATGATAATCTAATTTCAATAAATGGATATAAAGTTTTTCGCCAAGATAGAAATAGTTCCAAGAAAAAATATGGAGGAGGGGTAGCCACATATATAAACACAAATTGGTCTACATCAAATCACGTTTGCTTCAATTATTCTAATGACAGTATAGATTGCATAACCGTCAGGTGTCGCCCAAAACACTTAAGTAAATATTCTTATATATACATAACAAATATTTACATAACACCCAATTGTAGCCTTTCTAATATAGTTATGTTTGCAGATGAGTTTACTGAATTCGCTGCTCCTGCATTCGGAAACTCGTTGTCTATAGTCTGTGGTGATTTTAATTTATGTGATCACAGCTTTCTTACTTCGCTTGGTCATGAGAATCTAGTCAAGTTTAATACACGTCTGGACAAATCACTAGACCTGGTTTTCATAAATGACCGTGATGTATATGAAACCCGAAGGAGAGCTCCTTTGCTAAATTCTGACCACTGCATTATTCGTATTTTACCGAAAGTGTACGGCAAGTCACAACGAAAATTGTTTAGTCATTTAACAAAGAAGATACATGAACGTTCATATTCCCATGACAACATTCTAGCATTAAGAAGCATGTTGCATGATACCAACTGGGAACTGTTTACTGACGATAAGTTGGATGCTACTGTCTCTAATATAACCGATTATCTGAAGTTTTGTTTGGATATTTGCTGTCCTTATGAAACACTGTTTTCGAGATTTGACAGAATCTCTTCTTTGCAACTGAAAAAACTTAGAAGACAAAAAGAGAAGTTGTATAAGAATTGTGATAATACTGGTGTCCGTAAAATAAACACCCTTATAAAAATTGAAATAGAAAGGTTGAACAGACTATATAATGAAAAATTTTTATCATGTAAAAATCCTTCAAACATTTGGAAACTTTTCAATAAACTAACAAGTAAAAAACAAATGTCCGTTGATGCTTATTCTGATGTAAATGCTTTAAACAAATCATTTATCAAGAAACAAATTAATATGGTTGTACCTGATGTACCTAGTCAAGAAAATGGTCATTTTCAGGGTTTTGAAGAAAAGGATGTACTATTATGTTTGAAGTCATTAAATCCAACACACAGCCTTGGTCCAGATGGTGTACCAAGCATTCTTCTCCAAAAGTGTGCAGACATCTTGTGTCATCCTCTTACTCAAATCTTTAACGCATCATTTAAGAGGGAAACGGTACCTGCTGACTGGAAAGAAATCAAGGTTGTACCTGTACAGAAATCATCTTCTGGAGCAGGTATAAAATTTAGACCAGTCGCTATAACATCTCCTTTTTTGAAAACTATGGAGAAACTTCTTTTGAATATTCTTAAACCTTCTTTAAAAGCTTTTAGTGACCCTAAGCAGTTTGCTTATAAGTGTGGAAGAAGTACATTAGATGCAGCCATTGTACTACACCACAATATTGTTTCCTGCCTTGATAAGGGCGCTAAGTTCGTTCGAACAGCTTTCTTAGACTATACTGCAGCTTTCGACTCTGTTCCTAGGACACTTTTATTAGGAAAGATGATTTCAGCACAAACAGAGTCCTGGGCAACTAGATGGCTGTCTTCTTATTTTAAGGATAGGAAACAGCATACTGTTTTGGCTGGAAAGCGCTCCACTTCCCAGCTAACTGAAAGTGGTGTGCCTCAAGGTGCAGTACTTTCTCCATTTCTTTTCTCTTTCTTTCTGCATGACCTTCCGAACTCACCCAAAGTTAACTTCATTAAGTATGCTGATGACCTGACCGTTTCTGTCCCTGTAGTTGCCACATCGGATTGTTCCTATATGAATGGCTTCCTAGCTGAAGTTAAGGATTGGTCTCGCTCAAATGGTCTTAAACTAAATCCAACTAAATGTAACACTGTTGATTTCAGCTTGAGAAGTGAAAAAGACATGCATGGATTGATTCAATCTCATGATTGTTGTAATATTGATGGTACCATGATTGAGAGTAAGTCAAGTGTTTCTTATCTTGGCATTAGTTTCTCGTCAAATCTTTGCTGGTCGTCTCATATTCTTATAGTTTCTAAGAAAGTTTTCCGTCTGACTTATTACATAAAGAAGTTGAGACACTCAGGTATAACTCAATCTCTTATCATACAATTTATTAATTCATGTGTTTTGCCCATCATTCTTTATTGTTCTCCATTATTCTTCCCTGGGCTACTCAAGAAAGATCATATAATACTACGAAGAACATTGAGGGCTGTAAGTAGGGTCAGTGCTATCCCTTTGACTGAACTAAATGACACTGTTGTCAATAGGCATATGAATTCTTGTAAACACTTAGCTAAAGTTATCTTATCTGATAGTGAACATCCTCTTTATTCACAATTGTTTCCTTGTATCTCTTCGGGTAAGACCAGAAGAAATTTTATAAACATTTATGCTCGTACTACAAAATATAAAAATTCGACCGTTCCATATTTGGCACGAGTATTGTGTGAAGAGACAAATATCAGAAAAGAACTTTTACAACTTTTGAATCAGTAACTAAACTATAAAATGAAATGATGCATATTAATGCAAGTGTTATTTGTTATATTATTTATTTATTATTCACTATGACCTAGAAATGGTATGATTTTGTTGGGTTTTTAATTTTTATTTATTTTTATTATTTTTTCCTATTAACTATCAATATTTTAACATTTTATATATTTATATAATTATAAACAGAGCTAAACCATTGCAATATGTAAAAGAAACGCTGAAAATTCCATGCTGTAAATTTTTATTGTTGTGGAATAAAGTGATTATTATTATTATTATTATTATTTGGAAAAGCTTTCCACAGAGTTGACCAGGAAGTGATTTGGAAACTAAATCAACACCACAGAGTGATCCATATCTATGTAAATCTCAGTTAACAGCTGTGCGACAATGACACAAATCAAGTGATCCACAACAAGAAGCTCAGTGAAGCCTTTAACATTAAGAGGGTGAAGGTATAGTACAGGACTGTTTACTGTCACCAATATCATCAGTACTTGCCGTGACCTGGACTTTCTGTGAGGCGGAGAATAGAAAACGAGAATACTTGATGATACCAAAAGATGTGAACTTCGCGTATGATGTATTTATAATGCTAAATAATCTCTAGGGGTTACAGGTAAAAACTCAAAAGTTGGGATATGAAGCAGGCAGAGAAGACTGCATTCCTTCTGGACACAGAGAAGACGCAGGCAATATAGAAAACCAAGCAACTCAATCATCCGCAACAACAATGCGCAACAATCCTTTTGAATGGAAAAATTTTAAAGATGTTACTTGCATCCCTTATCCAGGAAGCATCTTTTTAAATGCAAACGATGTCACAGATGAGGATGTGATATTTAGTCAGGGTCAGAAAGGGAAGAGATACCTTCATCACTCTGATATCAGTCAGGAAATCGTCTGCAGTCAGCGTGAACAACAAAATTCGGAATTTAAACACCAGTGTAAAGTCGGCTAGTTTTTCTTTATGAGTAAGAATGTGGGGTGCACCAATCAAAGTATTTTCAATACTATCCTGACATTTGTTAACAGCTACCCACTTCGCTAACTCAATACGGGAGAACGAGATGGCTAGAAAGAATTGGAAACAAGAAACTAAGAACGAACCAATGGCTTAAAAATATGGAAAGTGTGAATCAAAGTCAAAAACAAATTTACCGGGTTAGAGACTATCATCTTTACATGACCTATTTGCAAGTGAATCCTGTGCACTGTACGACATAATTTCTGGTCGTCCATCGTCTGAAGATTCGAATACCGTGTAATGTTTGTCTTACTGCATCTTACTTATACAGATTTATGAAAGAGTAGTGTTTATGGTATTTGCATAGTGGCAAGTTTGTCAGAAAACTAGATAGAAGTATCAGGCTCTTTTTCACTTTCCTAAGGGTGTTAGTCATTTGCAGAAGACCTGATATACTCGCTGAGTTCAGTGGGAAGCACCGACCTGTGAAACAAGTGAACATATTTTCAGTGTAAAACGAAATAGTTTTGCAATCTAACTATAATTTGTTTTAAAATATAGCCAACTATATGTGAATATGTGTTGTTTCTAGGATATTTGACTGAGTCAATAAGGAACACAAACCGATTGTCATATATTAGACAACGATGCACTGGAAACCAACACTGAGTATTCGACAACTGTTCAGTCCTTGTGTAGGAAGCATAATGCAACCAGAGATCCAGCCTAGGAGCTCCAGGTTACCATGAGTAAACTCTGATCATACAGCAACAAGAAAGCAACCAATGGCCTATCAGTTCTGACTTCTGTATACTCCTGACCAGTAGTTACTGACTGCAGGACGAGATCAACTGGAGTTCTGTTGGGGAGTCGAGACCACTGGGGTCCACTGAGTTGACATTAAGGACTCATACACATGACGACATTGGTTGGCAGTCAGGATATATATATATATATCTGGGATTAGTAGAATTTACAAATGTTAGGCCACTGAATTCCGTTTCAGTGGGTTAATGATGGCCTTGTAAGCAGAATATTATGGGTTATGAATTCCTTGTGTTTTGAGTTCAACATCCTGCTGCAGCAGCACATATCCATTCCACTGTGTTCACTGGAGTCCTCTTGAACGGTCTCCTCGACTGACCATAAGTTGTTATTTCTTGCTCACATCACCGCCTGCGTACTGCTCTCTACGTGACACCCAACTCGTCGTTTCCCATTCAGGTTTCAGACAAAGGCCCAAAAAGCAGTCGATATCAGTCGCAGGTCTCCTCAGCATATGTCCAATCCACCTCCATTTTCCTTCGGCATTTCTCCTGGACAATAGTTTGTTGGTTAGTTGATTCTGAGAATTCCTTGTCACTTATGCTTATTAGACATATGAACTTGACTGCCATCATAAGTGTTGTTAACATCAAATGAACAAGAAAAGTCTGATGAATAAATAGGATACTTTCTCGACTAGGATAAGGTACCATGTCAGGCCTCCTATTAGAACACGAATGGAGAACGATGAGTTGAGCATAATAACAAGTGTGAGGATCATGTTGATAGGAGATGAAAGCTTATGGTAAGTCGTCGAGCCAGCCAATGAGGGTCGCAGAAAATAGGGTGAAACACAATTGTGTTGCTGAAGCTCTCTGCTCCATAAGGAAGCCAAGAGAATCATAATAATAATAATAAATACACGAATAATCCTCCCTGTATTGTGTAACTGTTATCTCTAAACCTACAATTTTAATGACACATCTTTGGGAACTTTCCATCTGAAGTAACTCTGCACTGAATACGTCTTCTTTCATCCAAGGGAAAGACCCGAAAGTTGAATTACTCATTCAGTGGAAAATGAAGTCTCCTGTAAAGGCATCGTTCTGCATCTAATAACTATATGTGGGAGAAGATAACTGTCAACCAACGAATTGTGAAGCTGATCTCCCGAAAAGAACATCAGCTCAAACTTCAATACAGATCAACTTCAACATAAGTTTTTGAGTTTTGGTCACTAACATAAGCGTCGAATCTTTTCTAACAGTATCTATACCCAAAAGAAAATCCCTTCCCAGTAGAATAGATTTTCCACAAATCTCAGAATATTCAGATATATATTACCACTCATGAAATGAATGTTTCTACATTAAATTGTTAATTCCTGTCTAGCCCAACATCATAAACACCAAAAAAGCTCGAGCATATATATGTATTAATTTCCGGAAATGAAGCATTAAAATAAATTGCAATCCGCCTTTTGTAATGGAAAAAAAAAAATAAAAACAAAACTCAACAGATGACAAATACACTGAGTAGGCAGAGCTATCAGGAAAATTATTCCGATTTTGCCAGCATTACTACGAATTGACAGTTATGATGGCAACTTCATTATGGGTAAAGTTTTATTTTGATAAAATCACACATTGTTGTAGTGAAGGATTATTAACTGATGACCACGTTTTGAGCACCATTTATGCCTGCTCATAGTCATCCTATCAAGGTACTACTCACACAACTTGCTTGTTTCATTTACATACATGAGTACACATTGATTGGACACATTAATAAAGTCGATATAAGATGATAAAATGCATTCGGAAATAATATTAGCGTTATCAGTCAAATACAATCAGATGTTTTAATAGTAAAATAAATAACTTGTTAGAAAGTTTAATGTGAATTAAATACATTCTAACATTATTTATTATGCTTTTCTGATTCGACTGGTGGTAATAATTATTGTGTACTCGTCGCCAAATTATTGTTATGCACTGGTCGAGAATTTAATAGTCCTGATGCAAGAAAGACGGAAATCAGAAGACCACTAGGTTTGCGATGATACTTCTATTTTCCAAAACACCAGGAGAATCAATGTCACACAAGTGTGAGAGCGAAATATAAATGTCCGAACAAGTGTGTGAACGAATATTCAAAATGAACAAATCAGTAGACAGTCTTAACATGATTGACTAATTATAATGGAATATCGATTCATATATACATAGCAAAATATATCAGACTGTCAAACAAACATACATATTATATGGATATATATCAATAATATCTTCCATATATCTGGTATTTGCGTTGAATCACTTCTATTGTATGTGTTGGGTGTGGAGTCGATGAACCAAGATTCAGTAATCAATATCTCTCTCTCCATTTACTTATATTACTTCTCTATCCCACACACCGTATTATGTGGCTTGGTGTAAATGCATGCAGTGCGATTGCTGAGCTTTCTTTCTAAATTTCTTATCGTCGTGGGATCGACCATTCTAATCTTAGCTAAATTCGTATGTTCTAATAATCTGACTACACCTGATCTACAAGTATGACTTATGTAGTTGATCTAACTCACAGTCTTGCAAGGTATTTTTTAAACTATATTATTTTGTTTAATTGGGTCAATCTACAGTGCCCTTTAATCCAGAGAGCATGCCAATCTTGAGTGAGTTTGTAGGTTTGAATGCCACTCTAATTCCTGCTTTAGTAAGAATCCTAAGTAGAGAGTGTTTCAGATGTCCTCTCCTCATATGGTAGAACTGTAGATGCCTTACATTCTCTCTTATTAATCTTATCATTATTAGTTTCCCCATTATTCTGACATATGGTTTTCATGTCTTATTGTATCACTCTATGTCTTAAGGATTTTTCCAACCTCACTTGTTTGCAGCTAGTTAACACCAGATCATTACTAAATATCCTTTCACAAGTAATAACACTTTGAAATTTCAAGTGATGGTTTGTAGGGGTTTGATTGGTTTCAGGATTTCATCATGAGCTGACATTAGTTAGAGAACCATTGGAAAACCTGGGAGTACTGGACAGCTGTTTCGTCCTAGTTTGGGACTCTTCATCAGTACCCACCCACCGGGACTCGAACCCAGGACCTTCCGGTTACAAGGCGAGCTCGTATACCATTAAGCCACTGGGACCCGATCCAATGGTCCTGAATTCTAACTTCTGCCAATTCACGACATAGCGCAACCGCTATGTTCTCTAACTAATGTCAGCTCATGATGAAATCCTGAAACCAATCAAATCCCTACAAACCATCACTTGAATGCCAATGAGATGCTCACTGGCGACTGGCCCTATTCAGGTAGGTAGTTACCTGGGTTCCAGTGGGAAGTCGTGACCAGTAGGGTGCAGCCGGTCGGGTGTGAGGACAAATACTCGCCGAAGACATTGGCTAGCGGTTGCGCTATGTCGTGAACTGGCAGAAGTTAGAATTCAAGGACCATTGGGTCGGGTCCCAGTGGCTCAATGGTATACGAGCTCGCCTTGTAACCGGAAGGTCCTGGGTTCGAGTCCCGGTGGGTGGGTACTGCTGAAGAGTCCCAAACTAGGACGAAACAGCTGTCCAGTACTCCCAGGTTTTCCAATGGTTCTCTAACTAATGTCAGCTCATGATGAAAAACTTTGAAATTTGTTCATTAACTCACAAGGATGTTATCCAATTACTTTAGCTGATTCTGAAAAGATTCATCTGAAGTCTGATCGTAAATTGACTTGCATTAGAGAACCATGGAGTAGTGAAAAGCTTGAGTGTCTCAGATATCACTTCTTGTTATTGTAAAGCTGATGGAGATGCCTTATATTCTTTCTTATTTATGTTATCATTCTTAGTTTCATCATTATTCCTATTTTACTTTTTGCCTTTTATGATCTTCCTAATGAATTTTATAGGATATTTAGTTATTTAATGCTAACGCCTCTTTTCTCTGTTTCATTTCATCGTTTGTTGTACTACTTAGTATTATTGTTCAGTTTATTAGATACTTAACTTTGCCTGACTATGCAAACAACGGATGAGATGAATTGCAATTAATAGTGTCTTGGTCGGTTTAATTGCGGAGCTTTCGTCGTTCTTCAGGACAACATCTTCAGCGCAATATTTTGCATAAAGTGGAATGATTTAAATTTGTTCATAAGTGATATAACTGTGTCTCTTACGGTAACCATCTTTACATTGCTTCATTTACAAACATGAGGAGAAACTGATGATTAGACATTTGAATAACAATCAATATAAATAAATTACATTTAGAAATATCAGTGTTATCAATAAAATACATCAGATAGGAAATAAGATGTTTTTTACAGTGAATATTGGTAACTTGTTAGAATGTTTTATGTGAATTGAATACGTTTTAACTTTAATAATTAACCCCTGATTTTACTGTTAGTGATAGTATCTTGAATATCTCTGTTATTTGCGTTGAATCACTTCTATTGCATGTATTGGGTGTAGACTTATGTATTAGTTGTAGACTCTATGATCAAGATAGGATTCAGTAATCAACGACATCTCTGTCCACCTACCTATGTTACTTCTTAGGATTTCAACTCTGTTCAACCCAACCTATTGTGTGGTTGTGTGTTAATGCATACAGTGTGATTGCTGAGTTCTTTTCTAAGTTACTTATCTTCGCAGGGTCAATGATTCTAATCTTAGCTGAATTCTTATGTTCTCATAATCACACTAATTCTTATCTACTAGTTTGACCTATGTAGTTGACCTAACTCACAGCCATTGGAAAATATTTTGTAAATTATATTTATTTTGTCTAATTGGGTAAACCTGCAGGGTCCTCTGGCCTACAGAGCTTATCTCTGATTGAGTTTGTAGTTCTGAATGCCACTCTGATTCCTGCTTTATTGAGAATCCTACGTAGGATTCTAGATGTCTCCTTGCCTCATTATATGGTATAATTTATGTTATAATTAACATCCCCCCACCATTTATTGTTGCTTTTCAGCTTTCCCGTTCTTTTTCCTAATGAATTTCATAGGATGGCTATTTTACATCAACGCCTTTTCTATCTGTTTCAATTCATAATTTAGGTTTTCTGTTGTACTACTTAGCGCAACTATTCGGTTTGTTAGACACTTAACTAAGGCTGCTTTCACAGACAGATAACGGATGAAATGAATTAAAGTCCAAATATCCACTATTAGAATGCGTTGGCTTTTTATAAACGCCAGTGTGCAGCCTACTTTCTTCTGCTCGTTTTATTTTACACTCTAACATAACTAACTCTCCATGTTCATTTTTCGATACACATGTGAATTTTATTCCCTTTGCTAGTGAGTTTATATATATATATATATATATATATATATATATATATATGTGTGTGGTGTGAAGAAGCTAGAGATATGTCCCGTTTTCAAAACTGTGAAAGTGTCATCCACACATATCTCCACAATATTTTTGGAGTAGGATTAAATGTATTAAGAGCCATATTTTCCCAGCTACACATAAATATATCTGCTACGATAGGAGATATTGGTGATTTCATCGCTACACCATCTGCTTGTTCATATATTTTGCCTTGGAATTTAAAGACAGTAGATGTGAGGCATAAATGAATTCCTAAAATGATTTTCTCAATGGGCAGCTTTGTTCTATGATGGTAGTTATGATGGCAGTGATAAATTAATCAATTGCACAGTACCACTACACAGTGCATTGGTGTTCCAGTGATGAAATGTTCGTCAGCCACACACCCATATGGCCAGTGGTTCAATCCCTGGCTAACGTACTCCTCAATCCTTCTTAGACTTTAGTACGCCTCATAAACAGGGAATATTTAGAGGTATGATCAGCAACTCTACCCCGTAGGAATAAATACCAGTGCTATTGAAACATCAAAGCTCTAGCTTTAATCTGCATGTTCCACTAGGACCGCAAAAGAATAAAATAAATAATAATAATAATAGTAAGCATGATAATAATAATAATAAGTATATCCTTTATTCTGGAACTTACTTCATCGAAATACCACTGACTATCGATCCATGGATCAATTTTCTGACCATCAATCAGCTTTGTTAACTCATTCCAAACATCAAGAATCAGATTGTGAATTTCATTTTGACCTCGATCACGACAGAATAGAAATGATTTTAAGAAGAAACCTCCTAGGACTAAGTTTTCATCATGTAGCTTCAATGGATTGATACGTTCCATATGGAACCACTTGATAAAATACAACAAAATATGATAAGTAGTAGTAATTATTCGATAAATATTCATAAAACAAGTAAGAATGGAAAAGTTCAGAATGTCCTTGTTAAATGACTGGAGGTGAAGCCATGGAACTAGGTTTCTCGTTTGTTCACACTCTTTAGCAAGTGATGTCTTCAGTCTTGAAGTAATTTTTGTATCCTCTGAGATTCAGAACCAGAACCATATGACCCAGCTCTGCAGTCAGAGACGTTTTTATCGATCTAATTGACATCAAAATCGATCTCCTGTTTAAAACTCCGGTCTATCTCACCAGATGATGTCATCACTGTGGAGCAATTCTCACACACCATTCTTATAATGTCGTCGCCCTTGTAAATAAATAAAAGATTAAGCACAGCCCCGTCTAGGACGTATCCTGCAGCGTTATTAGTCTCTCTATCCCGAACAACCTCTTCACTGGTGCAGTCAAAGATTGACAAGTACCACTCCAACTGTGTATACCAATTCACATGTATCTGCGGGAGCAGTTAAATTGGAAGAAGAGAGAGGAGGACCTACGTCAGATACTGCGAACATGTACCAAGGAGCTCCCAGTTAAAGGCACCGAATCGTTTAAGCTTTTCAATCGCAAAACACCTGATTGATACAGAAGACTGGGTAGATGTGCTAGAATCATTCAAAATAATTAATTTTATTTTTTTAATTTTTGATTTACAGCCTGATTCCACACTGTATTTTTGGTACAAGTATAGAATTTTCAGCATGGATATCGGTAGCCCAAATTCCGCAGGCCGTCCATAGATATCAGGTGCGCGTCGGCAGGGGATCAAACCTCGAACCATGTGCATGGTCGGCGAGAGTCCTAACCACTGTGCCACCGACGCACTGACACCTATGTTTTGAGTGATTAAACAGTATCACCAGCCCTCATGAAAAGTAACCCTGACTGGTTATCACTTGCATGTGACTCTCGTCGCACCTGTAGTCCAGCGTGATATGCTGTCCGCCTTGAAGGAACAGTGATTAGTCGAATTATGAATAGGTTGGAAAAATTTTCAAAGCAGTCAGACCATAACGTAGGATCAAAATTTGAAGTCAACAACTGCAGGTCAGTCATAAATTCTCTTCGAGTTTTCGTATCGCATCTCCTTTTATTTGCACTACTCCAAATTCTGTCCCAAATTAACCTCTTGTTTTAAAGTGTGGAGTGTGTTACGGATCACCTTATTATACTGTACTGTACTTTAAGTCACCTTATTATACCATTTGAATTGGTATAATAAGGTGAACAATAGTGAGGTTAGGCTTCGGTCAAGTGCTAGGTAAGGAGGGGAAATCAATCGACAAGGTTGTGAAGTCACATCGACTGAGATGGTTAGGACATGTGTTATGCACGCATCCCTAGTCATCGCCTTACTCGACAACAGGCAATGTTAGCTAACATAGGGTCAGGCTGGAAAAAAGCTAGCGGCGGTCAAATCAAAACAGTCAATGAAATCTACAACAGTTAGTTCCTGACTGGTTGGGTTCCTCGGGACAGTAAAATACAATGACTGGAGACAAATGTTGATATGGCTCAAAATCATTCTCAATGTCGGGTGCAGATGCATGCACTCCCTGTGATTTATGGTTTCAAATGAAACTATATCGTTCTTCGTTATTACTATTCTTTTTGCGCTATATCTCTGTCTACTATCTCTATTATGCATTTCTTCTCTTTCTTTGTGTGCTACAAGGAGGGAGTGTGGCGACTTGAAATGCTGCACATCGGTGCAAAGTTCTATGTCGAAAACAGACTTGTTTCGATGTGCATACCATATAGAGAAAAGCATAGCATATCTTTGTATTTGCGTAAAAAAATGCGGTTTTGTTTCAGTGCAATGTTATTAGGTAGGTACTTGATTGTCTCAGGATTTGTAATGCGCATATCTGTTTTCGCATAAATTAAATACGTGTAAATTATGCACAAAAATACCAACTAACTTGTTGGAATCGCATATATAACCAAGAATCAAAGTAGCCCTCGTAGGTGAGCAGAATTTTTTGGTAGTTTTTGAATAATTCTGCTACGTTTTCTACTCTACATCAAATCGGATACACTATTAATAGGCTCACTGCAATACAAGCGAAACGGCTTCTCAGTATTTGCATTCCTTCAATCTAGTTGGATAGCGAGTACTGCTGGTCGATGCAAATGCTTCTCAATTACTCATTATGTTAACTAAGTTACTGGGATCATTAATAGTGATATTATGGTGAGAGCTGTCTGCAAGCCCAAAATTTTAGGCAACAGTTTACGTCAATGTTTACGTCCCGAATCGGGTTCAGCAGAAAAAACAAGATCAAACACTAATCTTGAGGAGCTCAACAACCAATCACAGCAGACTTGGCGTGGGCGGGTACAAGTCGTAGATATATCACCGGACTGTCTAAGAAAAGGCAACAAAGATATGACAGAATAACTTTCAGCAGGAAAACAACAAATCAGAAGACGTTGCTTCTCTGATAACAATGACAAGCAATAATAAACATGATCCTTGAATTTCTATTGATTTTCTTAATAAAAGATCTGTTGCCTAGCCCTTGTCTTCTATCGTTACAATATTATATCTTAGAACTCTAACAGACAAAGTAGTACCTCAAGTCTTCTCAGGTTTGCTGAACCTATAACAATAAAACGATTGAAGTCTGACTTATGTGTCCAAACAGAATCCGTTGTTGGAATTCAATTACCCTGGTGACTCACTTCTTAGTAACTCTTTGTTTTCTAATTTTTTAACTTTTTAAACTCATCTTTTTACTCCATCCACCCCGCTTTATTTTTCGCTTGCCTCTCTAGAGAGATCATTCTTCTTGATCTTCTGAGTTCTGCTCACTGTATTGTATCGTCAACTTCTCATCTGACCTTATGTGCACCGAAATTTTAAAATTTTGATCTTCTCTTATCTAATTACGTCACTATTACCCATTGTCTTTTGTTACCACCCGAACAACACAATTGTTAGTTACTTTTTTTTCAAGAAACTTCTCTCTAACAAGATATTTATATATATGTCGTAACACTTTAAACACCCTGTAAATCGCAACGCCTTATTTCACTATGACACTCTGACAGTATGCTTGCTAATGGACAAAGGTTCGTTAAAATAGTACACTTTTTATTTTTATTTTATTATAAAATTCAGGTTGTACGCAGTTGATGAGAGCCAATGAAATAAAATGGATCCAGACAATTCTGCGCCAATGTTTTTTTCTTTCTTTGTTCAAACATTGTTGTTGTTGTTTAAATAACATCAAATCAACAATAATAATAATAACAATATCAACTGATTACAGTTCAATGGCATCAACATAACAATACACTACACTTAATATCAGACAGATAAATTAGGAAAGATAATAATACAAAGTCATGAATCTATGGTCTCAACTAGCAGTATTGGTTAGACTTTCTTCTTCTGCACACGTAACATAGGTTGTTTAAGGTGAATCATGAAAGTCTCTGCGGTTTGGGTTATGCCGCACCTGGATGTTTTTGGCAATTTATCTGGTGTCTGTTTAATGATGGAGAAGGATTCCTCAATGTTGGCTTTGTGGTTGGTATGAACCAGGTGTTCAAATAACAAGCTGTTGATGCTTTTCACCACACCCCTATTTAACCACACAGGTAGATGTTCTCAAGCGATCATGAAAAATCACGTTCCTAGAGCAACATCAAATGTATAACTCACTCCACCACAAGCGAAGTTGAATCGGTAGATTCAATTAGAAGTGGCTAGGTAGTCTAGGCACCTCATCGTTCAATCGAGGAATAACCATCAATTGTGTAAAAAATATGACTTGTAGTTTACCAGCATTAAAAGTTCTCAGAAGGGATTTTCTTAACTTCCCCGTAATTATTCCACTAGTTATATCCATCTTTAATTGCAGTAGTATGACACATAAAGGCTTCTTGTTTATGGATAGTGAATAATCCTTTCTAACTTTCTTAGTTTTATGCTTCCCGATGAATTTGTCTTGAAAGTTATTTTCAATTAAGTTATCATAATGAAATTATTATTGATGGGATGTTATTAACAGCAATTCATTCATTATTATGGATAGATAGATAACTGTAGGACCTGATGAAGAGGACGTTACCGAAAGGAATAGTCTTTGTTCAGTAACCATTCTTTTAAAAATATATTGCAAGTATTTTGAAACTTACATGTTTTGCCAGGTTTAGAAAGTTTTTCCTGTCTCCAGTAACCAAGTTGGACATGCCTGAAGACACAAGAAAACATGCCAACGTAAGTCACAATAATGGCAAGGATAAATTGCACTAATGTTTGAATTTCTCAGCTTTTAACTTATGCATTTAATCTTAAGAGTTAGTTTGTTGGGGTTTCATTTGTTTCAAGTTCGATGACGGATTGATAACAGTTAGAGAACCATTGAAAACCACTAGGGATTACTGGATGGCCGTTTCATCTTAGTTCGGGATTTATCCTTAGGACGCCGCCATAGTAACCACACTTACAATAAAAGGAGTCCCTACAAACAAACTCTGAAAAATTATTCTGATGCTTGTTAATGACTGGCTGCAGAATGAAGTTTTCCTCATACCTAGTGACAAGTCAAGACCGGTGGGGTCCACTCCGTCAAGAGTGAGGACAAACGCCCTCCGAGGACATTTGCTTGTGGTCACGATAAAATCACGTATAGGTAGAAGTCAGAATTCATGGGCCACTGAATCTACCAGCTTGGCCTTTAACTGAAAGGTCTTTGGTTCGAAACCCAGTATGGGCGTACTGCTGACGAGTCTTAGACCTACATTAAGTGACCGGTGTAGTTACACTCAACGAACGTGAACCCTTTCAACTTTGATCACACATTGACTTCTGTTTGAGAACCACTAGAAACGAGGCAACAGTGAACAGCTGTTTCGTCCTGTTTCAGGCCTATTCATGAGTATTTGTCAGTGAGCCCTCCCCCCCCAGGGATAGAACACAAGAACTTCGCAAAGTATCAGCTATGAATCGATTTTAATATACATTTATGAATAAATTCTGTTACAGGGAACTGCTCAGTGCATTCTAGTAAACACCTCCAGTCTCAGAATGAAACCAAATAACTCATTAACATAGTCGTTTTCGGTATGTATTAGATTTGAAAAATTCTGTCAATATCAGGTGATGATTCTTACAGGACTTCATATATAGAGCAATTTAAAAAGTAAGTGTCAGGTGTCTGAAACCAGCCTGCATTCCCCAAAATCAAGCTAAATCAGCTTTAGACCTCCTTAAACCAGTTAGATGGAGGTAAAATATTCGTCGCAGTGCTATTAGTCAACCCAAGGAGCCTGATCTTATGCAATTGATGTAACTGGTTATTAATTAGTTTAACTTTCGGAGTTGCCTTAGACGTTACATAATGAACTTTGTGTAATAAAACCGGATTGTTCTCACCGGCACAGAAGAGTATGTCTTTAGTCTTCTCTTTTGTAGACTGAATGCGGCTCAGTTGATAAGTAACCCACATACAGTCATTAGTCGAAATGCTTGTTGCTTTTCGTTACGGTAAATATCACATCATTTGTGGTAAGTGAAGGTACGTACATTACACTCTTATCCAATAATTAAAAGTCAATCTGAACGAAGAATATTCTTTTCACTAATTAAGTGAATAAAAAGTTCGAACCTATCCCAGTCGGTCACTACTGGACATAGCATCGACGTCAAAACAGCTTTCAGGGTTACATACCGAATTCTGAAGTCGTTACCATATATAGTTCGTTTAGGTCTGTCACACATTGCTGAAGCTGTTGCAATAAGGTCGACTCGACCGACACTTTGTATCCAAAAAGGAACACGTTCAGACGCTATTCCTACAGTCACCAAACTTGGATTGATGATTCTTCTGCTCACCAAGAGTGCTACTGCCCTTTGACCCTCTTGGTTTTTTTTTCTTTCCTTGCTTATCATTACAATCATTATTATTATTCGTCATAATTTACGCCCTTCATTCAAACATTCTCCCAATAATATCGAATTTTCCATTTATACTATCCGGACTTATTATCAGTGATATTACCGCTTTTCTCAATATATGCCTCAACCTGTTTTATTAAATACTTTCGTTATTTCATTATGAACCTCACATTGCAGTCTTACTATCTCCTGTTTAATATATACCACTTTGTAGTAGCCACTCACTCGCCAGACACCTTTTATAACCTTCAACTGACATGTCAGTTTTTCTACCCCAAACTCTACAAATATATTATGACGACTAATAACCACTATTGTCTCCCATTTTACAATATTTTGTAATCGATTTCAGCCTAGCGCGTTTGCCACACAAATACGACTATTAATTTTGACATCCCATAACTAATCTGTTATTCTACGTAGAAAATGTGTTCACCACATAACGGGTCATTATTGTAACGACAACAAACATTATATTTTATAATTCTGTGGTCATGTCGTCGAGAAAATGAGAGCCTTCAAAGTAATTCATCGTATCCCACAGAATCTTTCTAATAGACTTCGTATTCGTCTACTGCACACTGCTGAGGCGATAGGCATTGGAACTATTAAACCTAAACTATGCATTCAAATGAAGTTCGTACAGCCATTATCCCTCCCTTGCTTGGCCTACTAAGACATAACCAACTAATGACTTCTACACCAACCCCTTGTTTATATCTTCAACCCCTCCGCTCTTATCATCCCTTAATCACATCTTCATTAAAAACGTGTCTCATTTCCTTCCCTTACAATCTAACATCACTTAATCGGTTCATTTATTTTTACTAGCCTTTATCGACTACTTCCACCTGAACATTTGTTTGTTTAATCATGCCGTTTTTTTCATCATTCGTGTTATCACAGATTGCCTCACTTTTGCATCCTTATTATTGATAAGACCATTATTACTATTATTACTACTACTATTATGACTAATTGCACAATTTATATTCACCATCGTATTATCCTATAGACAAAACACCATGATTGGTTTATATTTGAATTTTTATTTGTAAACTTATGAATATTAGAGTTAAGCCCGATGACGTCTAATTGAAAACAGCAATATTGTTCGCTAAAACGTGTGTTGTTCTAAACTGTGTAAGAACCTGAAGAGGAGAAATTAGAGGAAAGAATATTGTTCGTTCAGATTGACTTTTGATTCATGATATCGGAGTATTTCACACTATTTTAAATCTTATATAATAATGTCTCATTTGACCTAATTCTTTAATATGATCAACTCTGTTGTCAAAAATATGTAAGCCACAGATTAAAACTATCACATAAAATCTCATTGGGTGTATGAATAAACAGGGATTACTTTTGAAAATTTATACCCACCTCAAAAAACACGTATGCAAACTGAAATACACTATCAAAATTTTTTAATAAAACTCTAAAATGAAATACATTACTTACCATAAATTATATGTTTCCCAAGAGGTTTCAATACGCCATATAGTCTGTTAGTATCCGGACCACTTATACAATCGAGGACCACATTAATCCCGTTGGGATAAAGTCTGTTAAGTTAAATAGGAAAAAGCACATAAGTGAAATACGAAAGTCGGACAATTTAGTGTAGCACAATGAAACTTTTTCGAGTTACACTTGTGAAAAAGCGAATGTAGAAAAGGAGTGGAATTCAACTCTGTGTATTCAAAGAAGACTGTCAAACAGCTTTAACATAAAAAAACATTGACACAGAAACCTAAAAAGGTTATTAGTGATTTACAATTGTTTAGCTCTGGTAACAAGCCTCACAGTAAAGTAAGAGGACTAATTGAAGTTGGACAACTTCCAATTTGACATTGAGCAACTGACTGTTCGGAAGATGATCAGTAGAAAATTCTTCCGAAGAAGTTATGGCTTACACAGAGAAACCTTCAGAAAAATCTTGTTTTGATTTCTCTAAACATGCTGAAATTATTCTAAGTAACTTTATAATCATCAACAACGTCTTTGTAAAGACATATAATGAATTCATAAAAGAAGAAGAATTATGGCAATGATGATTTTGTAGATGTTTGATGAACACTGTCACACACACAAAATCGAAGATTTGCCGGCGAAAACCAACAAACTGGTTGAAGAAGCGAGCAACGACGATAGGTTAGCAGGTGAACATAGAGAAGACGGATGTGGTGATGATAACCACGCACCGACGGCAACAACAACGAGTACCAATCACCACCAACGGAAGAGATTTGAATGAAGTTACTTCGTTCCTTCACTTGTCAAGCTGAAAAGCATAGTTCCAACCACAGGCAGTCGTAACGGATAAAAATGTCAAAGCCAGCCAGACACAATCGGAAAGGCAGGGCAGCACACTCTCATCAACGGGAAATCAGTTTGGAAGTCTTTTCCACTCAGCCAGCTTAAAAAACGAGATTAGAATCCTTAACAGAAATTTTAGGCCGGTCAGTCCATCCTTCTTTATGGGTCAGAAACTTGGCCAGTGTGTCACAAAAAGGATTTACAATAAAGTAATACACGTTTACCAACAGCTTCCTCCTTCGATGTCGGCATACTGAAGATCAAATGACCAGCCGACCAGACAGAAAGAATTAGAAACAGGAAACTCTTCAGGGGACCAAACCAACCAAGAGCCGATTGCTTAACAAATATGTTGGAGAAAATGGAGGGAGACCGTCGAATGACATCGCGCGTTGTATTGCGCGCGTGGAATCTAAATGCGAAGCGACGAGTGGGTCTTTGGTGCGAGGATGACATGAAGGAGATCGTGTGACGAGGAGGAGAAGGAGGAGAGGGATCGTGGACCCAGCTGAATAGGATGACAGAAAAAGAACAAGGTGGAGATGTTGATATAAGAACAGAACTTATGCATTATGGTAGAGTATAATTCCATTATGGGTAAAATTTATTTTGATAAAGTCTCACACTGTTATACAATAATATTTACTGATGACTTAGTTTCGAACACAATTTATTACTCCCTATATTCATATATGACACTTCGTTGATATAATTCCATTATTTTTCACCGCTTGACTTGATTGGTAGTAGTATTTTCCACATTTCTGGTATGAGTGATGGGTCATTCCTATTGCACGTGTCGGGTATCGACTCATTGAACAAGGATTCAGCAATCACTTATATAAACCAAGTTAGTAAGTTGTGTGACTACCTTGATATAATTATGAACAATAAATCGTGCTCGAAACAACCTCAGTATGACACTGTATGTATGACACTATGAGATTTTATCAAAATAAGTTTTACCCATAAAGGTGGAGATGTATTGTTGAAGCCCTATGTTCAACTCGGAACCAAAGGGAACAATAATCAGGTGAGAATATTGATTATACAACATTATCTGTGAGAATTAACTGTCCAGATGTTTCCCTCATATTTAAATAAGTCTTCATTTATCTGCGTTATAATTTTCCCAATAACCTAGCCAAATGAACTGATAAAGTAGAAATACTGAAGAAAAACATAATTTTAAAATGATCACAACATGAGAACGCTTACTTTTTAATTTCTGCAATACAATCTTGATCCGGTTCTATGAGAACATCATAGATTTTAGACAATTTCTCATGTTTAGCTTTTGAAGCTGTACCAATTAATGTGACATTTGGAATAAGCTTGACTAGCTGGCCAATAGCTGTTCCCTATATGTTTTTGGTAAAAGAACAGAAACAACACAGTTCAATCGGGTGATTCATCAGCATTGAAAAAAAATCGAAATTCTCAAGAGATGATTTCTAGAGATTAGATTTCTTTGTCGAGTTTGACAACAGACTGATATCAGCTAGAGGACCACCGAAAACTAGCCTAAAGAACTGGGCGGCTATTCCATCCTAGACTGGGACTCATCGACAGCACACACCCACTTCCAGGATTCGAATCGAGGGCCTTTCGGCTACCATGCAAGCTCATATACCATTCACCCAGTGAGACCCAATTCACTGACCAGCCCATGAATTCTAAATTATACCATTTGGTGATTTTTTTTCAGCGTGATCATTAACCAGTGTCATCAGCGAGAAATCCGTCCTCACTGATCACGACTTCTCAAAGAATTCCAGATAACTCCGTCCTGTAGGAAATCACTAGCGCCTTACCTTGTAATCGGAAGGTCGTGGGTGCAAAACCCAATGGGTGCGTACTGCCAGTGATTCCCCAACTATGACGAAACAGCTGTCTAGTGCTTCAAGTTGGTTTTCAATGCTCCACTAACTGATATCAATCCGTTGTCTAACTCGAAATAAAAATAAAAAATCCCAATTTATAGATAAAGGTATTTAACATACTGATGCTTGGCCCATGTAGCATAAACTGAAATCGAGTGTTTTGAACTCACTCGCTTCTCTGAGAACTAAGTCAAATGGCATGAAACACTGATGAAGGGATCCTCAAACAGTCAGGTGTTTAGATTACTTCGATCTTGTCAGCAAACAACACTGGCTGATATGAGTTGTATCCGCCTACTTATTTCAGTTAAATCAGTAGTATACGGTGTCACAAGTGAAATTCCATTATTTTCTTTAGATGGATTACTTTTGTTTTTTAAATAACATTAAGGAAAGTTACATTAACTTACTGTTCAGTAAATGAATATTGGATTTTGACTCTAATTCATTTTGGTATTTCTCTGAGTTATGAAATGTGATCGCCTGAGGCATCCTAACTTCAATAGTTTTATTCTCTGAATAAAAACTCCAGTGTACAGTCACAAGTTTTCAATGAGACAGTAGTGTGTGCTAGCAGAAGAAGGGTTTCTAAACCCTAATTTTCTTGAAATGTAATCGAAAGTGAAAAGAACAAAGTGGTAGCTAGTAATGTGTCTGGCAAACTAGGACTGGTAGTGGTTGGGGGTCCTGTGCTACTGACAACAGCTTACAGGTAGTACCAATCACCATCAACAGGAGAGATCAAGCAAAGGTTACCTCTTTCACTTATCTAGGAAGCATCGTTTCAGTCACAGGCAGTGGTAACGGATAAAGATGTTAAACGAAGACAGAATTGGAAAGGCAAGATACGTCTTTACCAACCTGAAACCAGTCTGGATATCTTCTGCACTCAGCCAGCATAAAGAACGAGATTTGGATTTTGAACACTAATGTCAGGGCGGTCGAACTATACGGGTCAAAACTTGGGAGATGAATCATGGAAAGCATTCCCAACAGGCTACTACAAATTTTTATCAACAGCTGCCCTTCGCCACCTCCAGAGTGAAGTTCGAATGGTAGGCCATTAAGAATTAGCAAGAAGAAATTCTGGTTATGAATAAACGAACCAAACGAGTCGAATGCTCAAAAAAATGTATGGGCGAAAATGGTGTTGGATTGGGCATAGTTTGAGGAGGTCGCCGAATGACATCACCTTCAACGTAGGCCATTGCCTAAAAGGAATACGAACGGTGAGCGACGAGTGGGTTACCACTTAGAGGATGACGTGGAGGAGATTGTGTGGCTAGCAGGGAAAGATGAGAGATTATGAGTGATCGTGGAGCCAGCTGAAAAGGACAGCACCACACAGAAGAAAGTGTAAATGTGTGGATGAAGCCCTACATTTCACTCGGAACTCAAGAGAATAACAATAATAATAATAGTGAAGAATTTACTACACAGCCTTCATTTACTTAATATAAGGCTGTTCAAATAAGAAGGCGAAACTCTGCTGGGTGCAAATCTCAGTTAATAGCGTATTACTCATGTTCGTATAATAAATGAATAAAAAAAGGAAAATTCAAACTACAAATAACATCAAGAAATAATCACAAAATGACTTTTCGTCCATTTTTACAAAGCTAGCGACAAGAAATGTCCAGTATCAAAGATTAGTAATGCTTCCAATAGTCGCTAAACATGTATATATGTCCACAAGTTCACTGTCAATATAAATAAACCCTCGGGGTTTAAATCTACTCTTTTCAGTGACTGACAGCATCCATCTTTCGATACACTTGACATGTTTAATTCCTCTAATTTTGCCTTATATCCAAACAGTTATATTTGCAAATTTAATCAGAGAAAGCTACAACCGACTGAAACCGCTGATTGTTGAAGTAACTGAGTTAGAGCAGGTTTGAATCCTGGCCTTAAAAAACCATATTTATGAGTCATTTACCGGCTAAACCTCTCGGGGTTGATAGTATTTATACACTATGTGTTTTTATAAGACAGGTACGATTGTTTCACCAGTTAGGACAAATCTGTCTTCTGTATTTTGTTGTGTGAGCTCTGGAGCAGTTAGATATCAGTCAGAATCAGCACTTGATATTTGGTCTTCAGATGAGTTACATGTTGTCTTCTCGTGTAACAACCTAGTCTCAGAGTTACTATTAGCAGCTGTTATCTTGTTCCACGCCTAATTTACCTAGATTCAAGTCTGTTTAATGTCCTGGTGATATGTACTATAGGACTGGTCCCTAGAAGTACGATTTCGCTTGTCGACTCTCTGAGCTAAGATCATATGCATCATTCCGTGTCTAGCTTTGGTGTCATAATTGTATTCCTATCCTTTTCATCACGGCAAGATGATGCTTGTGTTCACGGCATCCTATTATGATCAGAAACTGGTTGTCAACTGAACCCGCCTCGCAAAGCCGTTTATTAATAGAGACAAGTTAAAACAAAAATGAATGTTTGACAATTTCCCTGATCCAAGCAAGTTATTGAGAGGTCTCATACATTGATCAAGCTTCAGATATGCTCAAAAATCGTCCCTCTAAATCAGTCAGTAAGACATTCTTTGCAGGAAAATTACATATGACGTTCACTAGCCGCAAATTGTTCTTTACCTCTGTAAAAGATAACCTCCCCCGTCTGGCCGCCTGCATGTGCATCTATCAATTCACCTGCTCTTGTGGAGCAAGGTACATTGACCATAGTCAGAGAACGCTTTCCACACGGATACGAGAACATATTCCAGCATGGTACTACAAGGGGAAAAGGAAGTGTGTGTGTGTGTGTGAAGCTCTATTCTGGAACTCTTGATCGACTCCTGTCACTCGGTCAACCCTGATCATGATTTTAAGATCACATACAGAATCCATGCTAACTTCCCGCGTTTTCTTCGCTGCAGACTTCTAAAGACAGCTGAGGCCTTGGCGATTCATGACTTTAAGCCAGACCTTTGTGTACAAAAGAAGTATGCACAATCCCTACTTCTGCCTTGGCCGTTTAGGGATAGACAATTATTTATTTTGTTTATTTAGTTAACTTATGCATCTTTCCCTTATTACTACGTTTATTATTATTTTCATTATTATTATTATTATCATTATTATTATTCTCACTCTAAATTGTTTCCACTTGTCATTCTAAACCCAAAATTATTAATTTCTATATTTTTTTTATTTTTACATAATTTAATTCTATCATTTCAAATTTCACGCCATGTTATGTAACATTTTATATTAGCCTACTAATCCTATAATTATGCACCCCTTCCCACCAACATCTATACACCTTATGTATTATTGCATGGAGGAATTTAATCATGAGCTGACATCAGTTAGAGAACCACTGGAAAACCTGGGAGTACTGGACAGCCGTTTCGTCCTAGTTTGGGACTCCTCAGCAGTACGCACCCACCGGGATTCGAACCCAGGACCTTCTGGTTACAAGGCGAGCTCGTAGACCATATGTATTATTCCATATATATGGCATTAATTATTTTGCCACTTGACATTGAACTATGATTATAATCACAAATATTTTAATTGCATTTCATACTATTACTATTATTTTTTCATGTATTCACACCTTTGACCTAATTCCCTCAACGGATATAATTTCTTAAAAACAACCCATATATATACGATTGTACAGCTTGATAATAAATTCGTTGTTGATGAAAAGAGTCTCTTCGCTGAATGTATTGTGTTCTTAATGCTACAGTGGGAATTATCAAATTATTGACAAAGATATATCTCATAATAATAATAATTTAATTCAAATATTATCACAGAAACTAATTGTACGTCAAACTGGATCGATCAGTGGACGTCCATCAAGGATGTGAAATCTGACTAATTGTTAGTTTGACTAACAGATTATAACCATTCATCTCATAGATGCTGAGTGCAACAAATGGCTTCAGCAGGACACTTTCCTTTCACTCCGTCCTTTTTAGTCTTTTCGAACTGGTTCCACAATTGTCCAAAGGCTTTTACATTTCCTCTTCATATGACCCCCCCCCGCCGTGTCACTCCTCTCTCCAACATTCAACCTGTATCTCCTCATCCGGTTACCACTCAAAGAAGGATATGGCCTACCGATTCACTGCCAGAGGTTTTGTTACTCACGCTTTATGACCATCTAATCTTCACTATCAGTTAACAGATGGATAGTCAATATTTATACAATGCGAATCCTTAATAATAGACTTTCTAGAAATCCTATAATTGACAGTGATAGTCAGATGGTATAACAACAACTAAAAACAGAACACATTTCCACAGAACTTTCAACTTAACTAGGTGGAATATAATTTGATGAACAACGTAAATCGACTATGCTAACCAACTGGGTTTTCAATCCTGATTGATTAATCAACTTTTCGAAGATCAGGCCTATTTGTTGGGCCTCTATGTAAAGTGCAGCTGCTTAAGCAAAGTGTCGAATTATATAAATGAACACTGCTTCTAAATTTGTCTATTAACAAACACAATTTGTCGGAATACAGCTGTCCTAGTTTAGAGCAAATATTATGGTTTAAGCACTCGGAAAAACTGAGCGGATAAAGAAGGTAGACTAAAATGGGGGAATAATTAAGGAGAATGTTACATTACTACAATCATTTTGTAGCTTAACCTATCTTTCTCTAAATATTATCCATCTCTCTGTCTTCGATACATTTTTCGGTTGATTAAAGCGTGGTATTGAAGAAGGGATGGTAAAAAAGAACATGTCAAGAGTAGGTTTCTCCGCGGAATTAAGGATTATGTTAAAAAACATACTTTAATTTATTGCCAGTCCTTTAAATACGCTATTAAAACATATACCTAACAAAATGTTACCAGCTGCATTCGAACTAGCTAAACAACTGTCCGGTAATTAGATCGTTTCAGTTTGTCAAACTAGCAAGTTCTACGGGTTGTTAAAATTGGTATCCAAATAATCATATGTACATATCAGTACTTTGCAGTCAGTTTCATTGACTGGTTGGGGGATTTCATCATAAGCTGATATCAGAGAACAATTGGAAAGCCAACACTGGACATCTGTTTCGTCAGCCTAGTTTGAAACTCTTAATCAGTACGCACTCACCAGAGAAGTTCTAACCCAGGACCTTATGGTTACAAGACGAATGCCCTCATAGACTATTAGGCCAATGGGATCCAACCCAATTGCCAGTCCATGAATTCTTACTTCAGACAATTCATGGCATATTGTGAACACTTCGCAGAATCTTCTTCGATGAGTTATCGCCTCACATTCGATCTGCTTCCCACTAGAACCCAAGGTAACTGTTTGAATAGGGCCAGTCGCTAGTGAGCTTCAGATCGACTTTCAATTATTGGTTTTGTAGGGATTTTGTTTGATTGGTTGGAGGAATTCATGACTGACATCATGAGCTGACATCAGTTAGAGATCCATTGGAAAACCACCACTGGATTACTGGACAGCCGTTTCGCTCTAGTTTAGGCTGTTTGCTATCTTGATCGTCAGTTACGGTATTAAACAGTGCACATACTGTGTTCTGGATAGTTTCAATTTTCAAAAGAATATATGGCCGAGTTTCAACTCAAACTGTGTAAAATGCAAATGTCGAATATAAGCCAGTATATTAGCAGTTTGCCTAAATAGTTGACCAGGAATCGCGTCGTCTGCACTATTTCACCTCCTTGAGTTCAATCAAACCGACTACACTGCTTAAAATCTCGACATCAAACAAGCCAAGCAGCTGTCTGGTGTTTATGTTACCTTAATCTACCTAGGAAGCACTACTTGTTGACCTCACTGGTATCCAACTATTCATACTAACCACTGAGTGATATATAGAACCATGCGAGTAATTTTAATAGATTACAGACAGGTACTTCTCAATAGATATTGAGCCTCATGTACTATCAAACGAGTCACATAATCTACCAGTTGAACAATTCCTAATTTCATGTGAGAGAATGCATGTCATACAAAAAATATTTCTCCGCTGACTTCTAAGTACTGAGACTGTTAATCGCTGTGTTTTTCTTCCTTCAACAAAGTATCTGAGAAAACTGCTGAACATTTTACTATACTGACTGACCTTCACACACACACGGCTATTAAATATCCAAGAGAATGTATATCACTGTCCTATTTCAGCATACTTTTTGAAGTTGCTTAATACTGCGTTAATGGCTTGGATGTGTATTTATTTGCGTTAAAATAGTTTTAAAGAAGGTTAAGTTACATAAAATATGACCACAACTCAGTGTCAGTTAGAAAATTATTTGAAAAAAAAAGAAAGTTTTGTGCATTCGATTCATCTTACTGTACAGCGCTTCACCAGTTCCCAACAAAATCAACAACACGGAATGAACCGAGGATATAAATGTTCCGCTGTATACACAATACTAATGAGCTACTTGGATAGAATCGCGGAGTTCTCTCTATGATTCATGCATTTCAAAATTGATGCTGGTTTGTGTTATGAGATCTAACTTTAAGTCAATGAAGTCAATAAGACATTCTTTTCGTTTCAAGACTACTACTTGTCGTTTGAGAATTGGAAGGCATTGTAAGTCAACGCAAGAGTGAAGGTCCTACTTCCAGCAGTCTCTGTATCCATTTCATACTTCATCTTCTCTTGTGTGGCAAGATGAAGTGTCCGTGATCAAAGCGTGCTTTCCATATGGATATGAAAACAGATTCCAGACTTATTTTATAAATAAAAAGGAACAATGTGTGAAGTTCTACTCTGGAACCTTTGATAGACTTATCTGACTCATCTAACCATGATAAAAATCTTAAGGAATACCATCCTTTCTCTGTCTGAAACATTCGAAATCATGTGAGGCCTTGTCTACTCGTGATTTTAAGGCAAAACTCACCGAACCGAAGAAGTTTGAACACGTTATCTCTCTACCTTAGCCTCAGAATAAAACAGATAGGTATGAGAACTTCAAGACATAATGAACAGTGCATTTTATTACTTAGTAAACTATTATAAAATGTTGTCAATTTGCTAGGAATTCAGTGCTGGACGTATGTCTTTGTGTTAAGATTTTAACTTCAAGTTCACCTACTATGTCTACAGATATTTTATGAAGAATGAAGGCCATCAGGCACTTATTTAATCCATCTTAACTTTGCGGATGATTTATGTGCAACGCTACACAAAACAAAAGACCTACAGACAAAAGAAAGCTAGTTAGGAGATGAAATCCCTACGACATGGAACTTCAAGTGAACACAGAGAAGGCAGGGTTGATGAAATACCTAAATAGTAATGACAAGCATCACTCATCACCGACAGTAGAAGTCCAACGGAAGTTAATTCTTTCACTTATCGAGTGGAGGGCAGCACAGATGAGGTTGTTGACTGCGAGTACTGTCGAAGAAATATGCTGAATTATTTAAAGATGGAATAGACATAAGCTGAGGAGACTGTTTAGTCACATCAATTTTGTGACATTGAGGAGATCCCTTAGGCGGAAACAAGGGCTATGGACTAATATGAATTCGAAAAAAGGGAACAGTAGAGAGTGGGATGAAATAGCGACGTGATGTTGAAGCCTTATGTTTCATTAGCGAACTCAAAGAAGTAACAGTAACTTTCTAGTGAGGAAGTATCACCTGATGACAAGTGGCATTCAATACTTTGAAGTCAGTGTAGAAATCTGCTGTAGTCAGTGCAAGAAACAAGATTCGAATTTACAACGCCGATATTATATCAGACGGCGCTTCTACATGTTTCACACAATTAGCCCCTCAGAAAAAGGCATCTCCAACCGGCGATTTTAGACTTTAATCACCTATCTGACTTCGCTGGTTCTATACTGAGGATCAGATTGCCAGATTAGATAACCTTCAAGGAGCTCTAGTGACGAACCAACCAAGAACTCACTGTCAAAGAAATAAGCTGAAGTATTTATAGATGGACTTGACACAAGCTGAAGAGATCATTTAATCACATCACGTTCCAGTGAAGTCATCTAGGGGAACCAAAGTGGGTATTGATGTGTCATACATTAAGTCAATTTTGTGACAATGAAGAGATCACTTAGGCAGAAATAAGGACCTATGGACTATTATGAAGTCAAACAAAGGGAACAGTAGAGAATAGAGTGAAATGGCGACGAGCTGTTGAAGCTTAATGTTTCAATATCGAACCCAAGGAAATAATAGTAACTTTCTGGTGAGGAAGTATCACCTGATGACATCCAGACAGAGAAAACAAAGCACATCTTCGTCATAATTATAAAATTTAACAAAATAATTCACTTACCACTCCACCTCCAGCTGAATGCACCAAAACGATATCACCAGAACGTATATTAGCAATATGATGAATTAAAATATAAGCTGGTATATAAGCATATCCAATCACAGCGGCTTTATTAACATCCAACGATTTTGGTCTAGGCAAAATAAGTGAACTGATTGTATTCTCTGTTGATTCATTATTTTCTGTATCTTCTGCTGGGGTATTTGAACTTGACTGATTCGCGCTAGCTTTTTCTATAACTGGTAGTACAAGACGTTGACTCCAAGCACCATTTTCAAGTAGTACAACCACTGGATCACCAACCTAGACGAGGATCAGATTTTCAAGAAAGCAAGCGTTTGTATTGGTTACAATCATTACATCAATATTTAACTATCAGGCGATAATGTGCAATATTACATATGTAACGTTTAAATAACTACAATTGCCTACTTGTTATGTACTCGTCGCCAAATTATTGTGATGTACTGGTCGAGAATTTAATAGTTCTGATGCAAGAAAGACGGAAATCAGAAGACCACTAGGTTTGCGATGATACTTCTATTTTCCAAAACACCAGGAGAATCAATATGTCTCACAAGAGTGTGAGAGCAAAAATATATATGAATGTCCGAACAAGTGTGTGAACACAAGGTGAGGGCGAATATTCAAAATGAACAAATCAATAGACAGTCTTAACATGATTGGCTAATTATAATGGAATATCGATCCATATATACATAGTAAAATATATCAGACTGTCAAACAAACACACATATTATATATAATATAAGGGGAATATACATTGTTAAAGGAGACAGGTTCATCAAAGTGAAGTGGTCACAGACTAAGAGAGCAACAGAAAGAGAGACCACCATATATATATATATATATATATATATATGGATACATATCACTACTGTCTTCCTAAGTTGAAGCAAAGGTGCTTACAAAGACTATCCCCCTTAACAAATCTATTTATCGTGATTACAGTTATAACTGAAGTTCAGATATGTATCGATACAATTTAAAGCCAATGAGCCTAGATTCCAACTTTGACTAGATCTCTAATTCACGGAAACTCAAGCGAGATCAAAAATTCATTTGCCTGGGATTTTAGTTTCTTAATAAGGAATGGACAGTCACATAATATGTACACTTAATTTGTTGATGAATTAAATAAAGCTAATTCGTACTTGAGGCTGGGGCTGAATCGATAAAAAACCACACCAGAAACCTAAATGTCAACGATTCGATTCATATTGTCCCATATGATTCAGTGTTTTGCTTCATTTTCAAACATTGGACACCAAATACTTACTTACTAGTATATTCAAATTAAAAGGAATTCACACTTCCTGCCAGTTTTGAACAAGCCTCATTCAATGCTGGGTAATATGTTTAACCAGCTGCTATTACAAACAAGCAATAAGTGTCACTGATTTCTTAATACATAGACACAAGAGTAGGTGCTTAGTTTCAGAGCATTTCCGACTACTGATTTAAAGTGTGAAATCTTATCACCCTAAGTAACACTGGAGCTATAAACATACTAATTAGAAACAAATGAGGCGGCAAGGATATTCCGCCTCTTCCTCTTTGTTAGATGATTGATGGAAGTCGATAAGAGACCTTGACTGAACAAGGTTTCATCAGGAAGGCGTGTCTACCCAGCTTGAAGGAACTCATGTCTTTTCTCAGATCCGAACCCGTGTCACACAGAGCTGCAGTCATAAAGCTACCACTGAGCTATCTGGGCTCATGGCTGACCTCTTTTCGGACTGTAATAAACAGTCTGATTGGACATTATGTAGTGATTTATTTCATGCGTCTAGTCCTTGTTGTCGGTGCAGACCGAATTCTGTCAGTAATGCATATGACTTTGCCACCATGCTAAGACAGTCTATAAGAGATTAGCTTCAAGCGTGAAGTGCTCAATGGTAACATCTCTAATTGCATTACTCCATGACACGAGTTCCGATTAGAGAAAATACATGCATTACTTTGAAGTTCAATGGTCTTATTGTTGTTTTCGACATGACGTTGCCATCTCCACACTCGATCTATCCTCTTTTTCAGGCTTACTACTGATTAGCAAACTAAATGTTTTTAGGAGAACGTTGTTTGGCAATCAAACATGGACCACATGTGTGACTGGTGAGCAATTATACCACTGAAACAGCAACACGTTATAGTTACCTCTTAGATAATGAAATTGCTTTTTAAATGTTAAATACTCGACTTCAGCGTAAAAGAGGATATCATCACTTAGTGATGACGTGGATACATCCAGATGACGAGTCCAAAATGGGACGAAATCAAAAAACTAGACTCCAGTACAAGTGACCATCAACTTCCATAATCAATCTTAATGACGTTTCTTTGATTTTTAACGAATATAAATCAGCCAGTGTTTGTGTCTGTCAGTGATCAGACTTCAATGCAAAATTGAGTACACTACTTTGCCAACTGTATTGTCAGTTTGAGGAGAACTTCAATTTCTTTTCATTTAGAAACTTATGGGGTGGAGGGAAACCTAAAGACGATTTTCGTAACTCTCTGGTATACACCAACATGAATATAGACCGTATTCTAGAATCTTCAAAACGAAGTATATAGCTAACCGAAGGTATTGCAAAGACATATATCCTACACATATACTCCTCTATCCAGTCTTCCACCTATCCTTAACCAACTCTGTCTGACAAATGAATTATAGCCAAAAAAACACAAACCTTCACTATTTTATTTTCCATTTCCGCAGTTGACAACTGAAACATAAATTATCAGCCTGCAAAAAACCTACGCATTACTGAAGACAGTGAGTGAATGAATATCTAACGCATTATGCAGAACAAGTGTCATGGTCAAAGGTGCCACACTTTATAAAACCTACACTATGAAAGAGTGAGGTGGGTAACACAACCTCCACCATTTTTTTCTGAGTTGTCAATTTGTTTTTAGTCTCTAGAAAACTTTCGTCTGCAAACACCAATGAAAAGAATTATATTAAACGTTAAAATTCATATTGAAGTTTATATATATATATATATATATATATATATATATATATATGAACATAAATCATGACTATGAGAGGATAGGGACAATAAAAAGTTGAATGAGCATTATTCATTCTGTCTATGGTCTTTTAGAGACTGTAATTATTGATTTATATCCTTTAAACTAGACGTCACAATGATGTCTACATTCCCCATAACCATTCAAGTGGACAGAGTCAGTGTTATCAGATTGAAAAACAATTTTATGCGCATAATAATAGAAAAAAAATAGGATGGAACTACTTTTTTATGAATTCCAATAAAGTAAATAAATTACTGATAAACTTTTCATTTAGATATTTTGAAGGCTAAAAGGATATTCGCATTTCCGATAACTCCTTCATATGGCTCTACAAATCTTAATTAAATTTTAGATTTTCCCGTCGATTGATTGAATCGAAGTGCTCGATCACAGGTTGACATGTCTGCTGCTTCTTGTGCAGACGCTTCGACGATATCTGAGCATTTAATTATAATTTAATTGGTGGACGGTGACTAGCAGTGGAATCCAAGTGGTCTAGTGGATAACGCTTTGACGTTTGAAACTCTATGGGTACTGAGTTCGAGCCTCAGTGGGAGCATCAGCAGTCACTGGGGAATGCAGGTACATCCAGCCGATGACGAGTCCAAAATGGGAGGCAATGCATGTTGTCCTGGATTCTACTGCTAGTCACCAGCCACCAATTAAATTATGGCTCTACAAATCTCTCTATGCACACTACACACTAAACAGTATTTGTTATTGACAGAATTTATGTTCATGTTTAAATAATACTGTGCGGTTAAGATCGATTGGGACTTCAAGTGAACAAAGAGAATAGCGAGGTGATGAAGATAACCAATCGATAACAATGAGCACTAATTATTATCGACGGGAGAAATTTGAAAGAGGTCATATCTTTCATTTCTCACGGCAGCATTGTTTTAAATGCAAGCAGCACAGATGAAGACGTCAAAACACGGATCGCAAAAGCACCACAGACACTCATCACTCTGAAATCATTTGGAAGATCTGCAGTACTCATCGTGAACAACAAGATTCAGATTTTCAACACTCATGTAAGTTCAGAAAGTGCTGGTATACGCTTCAGAAGTTTAACGTGTCACCAAAAGCATTCACAACATACTACTGTAGGCCATGATCAAGAGATGCCTTCATTAGTTCGAATCCGAGGATTATATTATTATAATATTATTATTATTACTCCTCTGGCTCCGAGTGGAACACGCATCTTTAACAAGACATCTTCACTTTACCCTATCTTCTGGGGTCCTCTTCAGCTAAGTTTACAATTGCCCACAATCTCTAATTTCCTCCTCACATGATCTCCTTCATGTCACCCTCGAACCAACGACCCACTCTTCGCTTCCATTTCCAATCTGCTTGAGCGATGGCCTGCATTGTGTGCGATATCATTCAACGGTCTCCTCAATATATGCCCGAATAATCCATATCCATTTTCTCCTACATATTTGTTGAGCAATCAGTTCTCGCGTGTCGGTTTGCTCCATCCAGAGTTTCTTGTTAATAATTCTTTCTCGCTGGCCATTAGATCTCCAGCATGGAGACAGTGAGGTGGGCAGCTGTTGATAAAAATCTGCAACCTGTTGGAAATGCTTTTCGCGACACGCTGGCCAAGTTTCTGTGGAACCATATAGAAGAACTGACTGACTGACTGACATCACATTAATGTTGCGAATCCGAATCTTGTTCTTTAAATTGGCTGAGTGCAAAGGAATTCCAAACTGCTTTCTGGCTGATGAAGGCGTGTCTTGTCTTTTTGATTCTGACTGGTGTTGACGTCTTCATTTGTTCTGGCTGCCTGTGGTTGAAACGATGCTTCCTAGGCAAGAGGAGGAAGGAAGTAACCTCTGTTAAATCTCTCCCTTTGATGGTGATTGGTTCTGGTTGTTGTTACTATTGGCTGAATATATTCATCATCTCCGCCTTCTCTCTACGTCTGCTAGAAAGGATTGGGAGCAAGGAAATCTGATAATGCGAATCAACCAAAAATTTAACGCCTGACAAATAAGCTAAAGGAAATGGAGTGCCCAGTTTGGTGACTTCATGAGGCCGGCAGTCAAGTTGAATCCAGATGTCAGACGACGAAATAGGTACTCAGAAATGATATAAAGTAGATAAAAACCTATGGAAAGTCATGTAACCAACTAAGGATGATTTCAGAGAACAGAACAAAACGGGGATTCACAGTTGAAGGTTTATCTTCCACTTGGGACCCAAGGGAATGTTTGCAGTAGTAGTAAGATCTATGGAACTGGAGTTCAAAAGCAAGTTTAAGTGATAATATACACAAAAAATATAATGCCAAATTGAATATAGGATAAAATTAGGACGCATATCAACAAAACTATTAAAGATAGTTAAATCATTAGTAACTTAAGAACCCTAGGAGGAAGTGAAAACCATCAGACTTCTACAATCAACATAAGGAAGGCGTAAGAATGCACGTCTTCGGAACGCATGATTTAGTCTTCAATGCTGCCATTTGTACAACTACAGGTATATATAGAAGATGCAATCATAAAATAAAAATTAAGATTGTTCAAAATATGGTAAATAACTTGGTGGAAGCCTTGTTAAAATGAACTTTATGTTCAGTACGCATAAGATGAATTCAAGCATCAAGCTGCGTTTGTCTCGTTTTCTTAGCCACTATTCAGGATGTAATTCAGAAGTTCACACTCATGATGAACACACCAACTGGCACGACAGGGGCAGTTAAATCGGCAGATACACCTAGATGAGTCAACGAAATATGGCGGCTTTTCCTTAGTTCCCGAACGGAAAACTGGAGTGGTTAAGAACGGACAGCGTGCCTCTGCTACTCTGAACTCTGTCTTTGTTATATTCTTTAAGCACTGCGTTATTATTTCAGTGATATAACCACCAAGAAGCTGTACTTGTAAGAACAAGGGTTTCTTTGAAGTTGTTGATGCATTAGCTTCCATTCGCTTTAATTTCAGCTTCTTGTCACTAAACTTTTCAAGATATCTGTTTTAACTCAGTAATTTTACCAATAATCTTGAGTTCTTCATTGAGGCAGTCATTAGAAAAGATAACTCGAGCTGTCTGAACGAAAACCTTCATTGTTTTAACTGTTTTTAACTGTTGCATACACTTTTTTCCTAAGTTCATCTGATATTCAGTTTAGTATGACATTTTTATGCATACTATTGTACTTACATATATTTTGAAACTGTTATTCCATTGATCTGAATGGCTTGATATTATTTAAACAAGAAAATCAGTGTTCTCAGTAAGAATTACCCTTGAATTGACATATGCGTATATATAATCGAAGAGCCAATATCAAGTAGTTACCTAAATCACCTGTGCGGCAGTGGCACAGCGGTTGGAACGCTTGCCGAGCATGCACATGGTCTGGGGTTCGATCTCATGCCAGCGCATCAAGCTTTAATAAAAAAATGTATGTATACTTGGTCTAATCTTCCTTTCTGTCGTCTAAATGTTTTACCAAACTACTGGAGAAATGTAAAAACAATTATTGTTAATATTATCACTATTATTATTACTATTATTCATAGAACAGATTGAAATGCTCAGTGTACACGATTTGATATTACCTTGTAAGTGCTGACTTTCTCACCAACTTCACTAATAATTCCAGTACATTCAGATCCCATAATGAATGGTGGTTTAACTGTCTGTTCAATCAATCCTTGTCTTGTCATTATATCAAGGAAATTGATCCCACTAAAAGATATTAAAAAACCAGAAAAGTCATTCACAAATTGCAATTTGAACAGTAATCACATAAAACTTGACGCATATATTGTCAACAAACAAAGCAGTTTCACATCTGATAATTTAAGAACACTGATAAATGTCCTGATCTGTTATCAATTAGTTATGGTGACTCTTTTCACATAAATGAGAAGTTTCTCCTAGGATCGGTTTGCTTAATTAGTTTGAATAAAGAAGAGGTGAAGATATTTGCTGGATGATACGAACCCGTTTTATTCTATGCGAATCTCAGCAGTCTCAGCGATATTCACATTGAGAAGCTTAATTTATGTATCCAAAAGAAGCTAGGTCAGACACTATCTTTACCTAGGTATGAGTGATCCCCAATTTTTTGTAGACATTTCCTAAATTTTAGTTGATATTCTATTTGCTACCATATATATTTATGCTTTTTATAATTTATGCATCTTTAGTGAACTGTAATTCTGTTGTTCTTACTTAACGAATCGATATCATTTAAAAAACCACCAATATTGTTATTGACGACTATTCTAGTATAGTCTATGTATGTGAACAGGTATATAATTGTGGAGCCAGAAGAGAAAATTATCATTATATAGTTTGGTTTGTAAGGATTAGTTATGCTTTACGAGTTGATCACGGATTGATATCAGTTAGAGAACCATTGAAAACCAAGGAGAACTGGACAGCTGCCATTCAGCCACTGGGACCCGATTCAATGGCTCGTGAATTCTAACTTCTACCAATTCGTGATTTAGCGCGTCACTAGAACTCAGGAAACTCCAACCGCTAGCAAGTCACTAGCGAGCATCAGATTAACTTTCTATAATTTGGTTTGTGAGGATTAGTTATGTTTTACGGCAGCTGTCCAGTACTCCCTGGTTTTCAATGGTTCTCTAACTGATATCAATCCGTGATCAACTCGTAAAACATAACTAATCCTCACAAACCAAACTATAGAAAGTTAATCTGATGCTCGCTAGTGACTTGCTACACGTTGGAGTTTCCTGAGTTCTAGTGAGAAGTCGTGACCAGTGAGGTCCAATTAGATGTCATGTGTGTGGATGGATGTCCCACCAACGACAATGGTTGGGGTCGCGCTAAATCACAAATTGGTAGAAGTTAGAATTCACGAGCCATTGAATCGGGTCCTAGTGGCTGAATGGTATACGAGCTTGCCTTGTAACCGGAAGGTCCTGGGTTCGAATCCCAGTGGGTGCGTACTGCCGATGATTCGCAAACTATGATGAAACAGCAGCTGTCCAGTACTCCCTGGTTTTCAATGGTTCTCTAACTGATATCAATCCGTGATCAACTCGTAGAAAATTATCAAAAAGGGTACCAGACACATTAATAATACCGGACATCTCGTAGAGATTTCTAAGTCCTTCAAAATATTAAATAGACAAAGGACAACAAATTTACTACGATTTACCGAAGCAATCGCAATCAAAAGACTTAAACCAGACTTATGCATACAGAAAGAGAGTGTGATTAACCTCTCACTCCCTTGGTAACAGAATTTTGATTTTGATTAGTCATCTAATTCAGTGATCTCAACTCACTGAACAAATCTTAATCTCATAAACTGTAACCGTTTTTGTTTCTTGAGTTGCTATGTGAACCTAAAAGCTAACACTGTTCTGTTGATCAATTTTTTCTGCTTTCTCTCTTACCTCTCCCCCTCTTTTCAACTTTAAAAGCGTATAAATTGATGATGAAAACTTAAACTAAAAACATTGTAATGCTTTCATTTAGATGCGTCAATTTTATAGTATCTCTTTTCTACCACCACTCGAACATTAAAGTATGTTGTCATCATCTATAAAACCATTGTAATTTCAGGTAGCCTGCAGCTGATGAGAACCTGTGAAATAGAATGACGATATTTAATACTGCAATTTTTGTCTTCCTTTCTTTATCGAAATTTATCAAGGGAACCAAATGTATGAAAAAGGATACTCTTTGATTAGATATTTTGTTTTTGAAATAATTAAGACTCAATATCTCCAGAAATCTGTAGGAATCCTAATGGGAAATGATGACTTATGCATAACTTTATGAGTGGAATGAAAGAGATCGTGTGGAGGAAGAATGACTCCATATTAGTTTGTTTATTAGATGTATCACACAGTGAAACAGTATTATTTACTGGATGGTGTTTCGAACAAAATTTATTGTTCATAAGCATATCAATTGTGATCATACGACTTTGAAATTTGAGTTTTATAGTTTTCTTTGTCTTCTATTTGTCGTAATGGTAGTAGAATTTTCCATATACCTGGGACAGGTGTTGAATCATTTCTGTTACATGTATTTGTAGTTGATTCGATAAACAAAGCTTCTGTTATCAATCTCTCCTTCCACTGTGTGACATTAGATTTTAAAACTGTCATCCTATCCCATCCTATTTTATGGTTGTGTGTAACTGCATGTAATGCTATAGCTGAACTATTCTCTAGATTTCTTGTCTTATTCAGGTCAACTAATCTAAATTTTGCTAGGTTTTTATGTTCGGCTAGTCTGACTGACTGCCCCTGTTCTACTACTTTGACCCATCTATGTATTTGACCTGACACTCATTGCAGGCATGGTATTAGATAAACTAAATTGCTTTGTTTTAATGGCTCCACAGGATCCTTTAACCGACAAAGCGTGTTTCTAATTGAGTTAGTGGGTTTGAATACCACTTTTATTCCTGCCTTGTTAGGAATTCTGCGTAAGGCTTCCGAGGTTCCTTCCTTGTATGGAATTGCTGTTGATGATTTAGATTCCTTATTGTTGGTGTCGTCATTAATATTATTATTATCACTATTATTATTACCATTATTATTATTATCATTATTATTGTTATCATTATTATTATTATCACGATCGCTATTATCATTATTTATTTTATTTTTACATTTACTTACGTATTTCTTGACTACTTTATCCCGGTAATTATTAAGTTTCAAGGCTTCTTTTATGTGTATCACTTCCTGTCTTAGATTTTCCTTGGTACCACTTAGTTTTTGTGCTCTGTCATCTTTGTGCTCTCTGTCATGAGAAAGAATGACTGCTTATAGGAAACCTTTGAAGCCAGATTAAAAAGACTACACAGGACAGAGTGAAGTAAAGATATGCTGCCAAAGTCCTCCATTTCATTTGGAAAGTAACAAAAGAGTGATATTACAATACATTCTTAGACTGAACTAGTTTTAGATACTGCTGACGAATATGCATGGAACCTGGACCCTAGGTCTACCTATTCGTCACCAGTTGCTTGGAATACATTTGTTGATGAAAACATAAGGAAACTAGGTATAACCTACTTATCGTTTGAGGCTCAGCGACATTTAAAAATTCAGCTACTCAAAATTTCTAACTTATTATACTATAGTTATTTTAATTCTAGAGTTGTACGCAGGTATGAGGACTGCAGTTGAAGTAATCAGCTGAATTCAGTGGAATAGATTCATAGTATCCGGACTTTTCCATTTTCGTAAGGCTAAAGGATAATGGCTGACTCTCTGAAAACATAAACCTTGAGGTTGAATGTAACGGAGTCACTCACTAAAATGCAGATATATTCAGATAGCAATATACGATAATACAAAACGCTTCCTTACAACTCCAACACTAGACAAGACAAAGTAACCAACATTAAAAGGATACGTAAACAGCTCATTTGATAAAAATAAACCGATAGATGAAATATGAGCAACTTCATACATAACTGCAAGTGTCAAAATTTAACTAGGCGTGAAACTCATTAGAACACCGGAATGTTTATGGTCTGTTTTGGCATAAAATGAAAGGAGCTTCAATTCTAAAGTTGACCTAAAATTTTGTATGTAAGTGAGTATCAGCATCTGGATGGGATGTTGCTGGATAAATTGAAGAGAAAAAAGAAGTTTCCCAATTGATAGTTCGTAGGGATATAATTTATCCCAATTACGATTTTCCCACGAAGCAACATCCGTGATAGGAATAAGGAGTATTAAAAGTCCGTTTCATTCAAATTCTGAAAATTCCACACTGTATCACAAGTACTGTTTCTGGAATAAAGCGAAATTGTTATGTTATGTTCTGGGCTACCCAATAGTATTTTTTTCAAATCGTGAAAAACACCCATAGGGACTTTAGAAAGAAGAGAACAAGAAGTTCAACAAAGATCCCGATCTTTTCGGCGATTTCATTCTCATTCAAAGCACCTGTACAATCGCATTTATATAGATTAGTTTACATGGATACAATTATTACTTGCTTAATTCCACATAGTAACGGAGGTGATAATAATATTCAACTTAATATGAAAGTTTGAAGGTACGAATATAGATTGCAAGGGGCTTAGAGACAAGATTGCACAGGATTAGAAAACAGTTGCAACGTATGCAAAATTAACATCTGATAACTGGAGAAACAATTTTAAAGGCGAATAAAAGGTGATAATTGTTTTCAAATTGATATGAATTACAAGAGGCTTAGAGATGTAGGGATAGAACGAATTACAGGTGTGAAAAATTTCAGTTTGTTTCCATGCTCATTTTGTTCACACATGTAATTCGTTCCATCCCTACGTCTCTAAGCCTCTTCTAATTCATATCAAGTTGAAAACAATTATCACCTTTTATTCGCCTTTAAAATTGTTCCTCCAGTTATCAAATGTTAATTTTGCATACGTTGCAACTGTTTTCTAATCCTATGCAATCTTATCTCTAAGCCCCTTGTAATCTATATTCGTACCTTCAAACTTTCATTTCAAGTTAAAATTGTTATCACCTCCGTTACTATGTGGAATTAAGCAAGTAATAATTGTATCCATGTAAGCTAATCTATATAAATGCGATTGTACAGGTGCTTTTGAGAATGAAATCGCCAAAAAGATCGGGATCTTTGTTCAACTTCTTGTTCTTTTCAATCTAATACTCAATAGCACGCGCTTGTGAATTGAACAGCAATAGGAACCCACGATCTTCAGGTCATCAAGTGAGTGGATTACCGCGTATTCGCTTATTCGGGGTCACATGACTAGACAATTACTCCCATAATTTTCTTAACACGCTGGGATTAATTTAAATAATTTATAATGAATCATTCTGACTCGGCGCTCAAATTATTCCAGGAAATTCGTAACACCTACGGTCTGGAAACTTATAATTACTCCCATATTTGATGACCCGTAGGTTCTTGGTTCAACCCTCGACAAGGTTATGTGTGGTAACTGCTCTAGAATAATAAACCATGTTGAAAAAATTATCCAGCAGTCTCAAAGTTTTCATTGGTTCTTTAATGGATGTTGGTTCTCAATGAAATGTAAGTTGAAAAATGAAAACGGTGATTGCTGTGAACATAATATTTACAAAGTAAGATTCGTGTATGTAAATCATAAATGTTGTTTAACAGTCAGAATTAAAGAGTTATAACAATTATTAATACACCCAAAGCCTAACATTTAAATGTTTATACAGAAGTGAGTAAAAGTGAATTGTGCATCTAGAATAGAATGATCAAAGTTTAATCCTACATTAGTTGAAGTCAAATGTTTTCCTGAAATCTATAGTGTCTAGAATGTACGAGTCATGCATTTGGGAATTAACTGTATTTGTTTAATGAAGGCTGCTAATGCTTTCTAGAAGTAGCCGAAGACAGCTACGCCACATAATATTATAACATAAATCAATAACCATCAGTTAATGCATCTAGTAACTCATCAAATTAACTACATCTCTAATTTTGATGCATGAGTTTCAGTCAACTGGCTTTGAGCTCTCCTAAAACACTGATTTACTCGCCATTGCTTCAGTTTGTATGCTATTACATAGTGTAGTTTTGAAGCATCATAATGAATATATGAGCCTTCATCAGTATTATTAATAATTATTATACGTGCACATTTAAAATCGACTTTTGAAAGGTAGCGTATGAAAGTCATTTACGGACTCTAAGCATTCTGGTTGGAGGATTTCATTGTGAGCTGACATCACTTAGAGAACCATTGGAAAACCTGAGATTACCGAGCTGTACTAGACAGTTTGTGATTCTTAAAGCAGTACTCACCCACAGAGGTTCGAACCCAGAACATTCTGAATGGTCATCCCAAATGTAAAGTTGTAATTCTTCAAAAGATTTATAAGTTTACTGCTATAGAACTGGAGAGATCGAAAATGAGATAGCATACTTCAATTTTCGTCACATTCTAGTTATTTTCTTTTAACATGCATTCAAGTATGAAACGGGCTAGAGTGGATCTGCAAACACTTTATTTCATGTTCTATGCTGGCAAGAATTTCATATATTTGTAAAACTTAGTCACTGTGGTAGTAAGCAATTCCATATTAATTTGTTAATTAGAAACATTACACAGTGAAATAGTACTATTTACTGGATGATGTTTTGAAAACTGTTATTGCTCATAATATCATCAAGTATAACTACACAACTTCGAAATTTTCGTTTTGAAGTTTTCTTCTTCAAATGACAATGATTTTGTCAAATATGCTGACGACCTGACTGCATCTTTGCCTATCAAATGTCAAAGTGACTGCTTTAAACTAAACGGCTTTTTATCAGAAATCAGCCAGTGGTCCAAGGAAAACGGTCTTACCTTAAATTCCTCTAAATGTCAATTTCACCTTTGGGCATAAATCTGACCTAAACAAACTGGTTAGCACTCACGAAACGTGCAACATAGATGGCAGAAATTAAATACCTAGGAGTAATTCTATCTACTGATCTTTCTTGATTGTCTCATATCTTGATGATTTCTAAGAAAATATTCCATCTTACCTTCTACATCAAAAAGTTAAGACATTCTGGTATAACCCAACCCTTACTCCTACAATTCGTTAACTCTTGCACCCTGCCTATTATTCTCTATGATTCCCCCTTAGTTATTCCAGGGTTGGCTACTGAAGAAGACTACACCTTATTACGCAGGATGTTAAAGGTTGTCAGCAGGGTAAGCTGAGTGCCAATTAACCAGCTTGTTAGTATTCTGGTTGACAGGCTCATGGACTCATGTGAAAAATAGGCTTAATCCATTCTATCTATCTAACTCACAACACCCTCTTCATTCACAACTCTCCCCTTGTATTTCATCAGACAGAACCACAAGCCTATATAGAAAACTATATGCTCGCACTATCAAGTACAAAAACTCACACATACTCTACTTAGATCGTGTTGTGTGCGACAAAGAAAGCATTAGGTGTGAAACTTATAAAATAGTCTGTAGAACAACTGGATCTCGTCTTTCCAACTCATATCAGTTATAGGTACAACGTTTTTTTCTTTCTTTTCTTTTTTGTTATGTGCTGTTTTGTTTCTCTCTTCCTTACAAACTCTACTATAAACATTCTTCTTCGTTCTCTCACACTCTGTATGTCTCGATCTTTGCGTTACCGCTTACGCTAGTAAATATGCTAGTAACTACTTTTCTAACACCTTCAAACACTCTGTTCAATTCTGGCTTTGCTACCGACATGCATATATATTGTTGTCAAAACTAACTGAGATTACCTTAATCTATGTAGAATTTTATTTATTGTTAATGTATAACTGGATGCAATACTGTCTGTAGTAAAATGCTGAGAATTCTGTATCACAAGCACTGTTTTGGAATAAAGCAAATTATTATTATTATTATTAAAAACTTGGTGAGCATGTCATGAAAGGCATTTTCAACGGGTCACTGAAGACTTCCATCAACAGCTGGCTCCACGTTGAAGATCAAATAACCAGCTGGTGGGCCACAAAGAATTAGCAGCAAGAAACTCTGGCTTCGAAAAAAACAACAAACAAGAGTCGGTTGCTCAGCAGATATTTAGGAGTAAAAGAAGATGGATTGAGCATACGTTCGGGAGGCCTTCGAATGATATCGCGCGCAATTCGGGCCACCACTCCACTGTAATCTAAATGAGAAACAACGAATGGGTCATCGGTGCTAGGGTGATATGGAGGAAATGAGAAACTATGGTCGATAGTTGACCTAGCTAAAGACGACAGCAAAAAAATAGAACAAAGTGGAGATGTGTTTTTCAAATCCTGTGTTCCACTGGGAACCAAATGGAATAATACTATACATCTAGGTCTTACTAGGTTCTCCTACGCCTACGACTAATGGGAAATAATAATAAAAACTATGAAAGAACACGTTTCGCTGTTGTGTAGTTATAACTGATATCATCATGAACAATAATAAATAGTTTGCAATTAATAGTGTTCTCTGAGATGAGATGAATTAAAGTCTAAGTATCTATTAGAATGAGTTGGTTTTCTATAAACACTAGTGTGCAATTGGCAAACTACACACTAGTTAAGTGTTTAACAAACCAAGCATTAGCACTAAGTAGCACAAAAAAGACCTAAATGATGAAATAAAACAGATAGAAGAGGCTGTGGTGTTAAATAACTATCCTATAAAATTCATTAGGAAGATCATTAAAGGCCAAAAGAAAAAGAAAAATAATTGTGAAACCAGTAATAATAACATAAATAAGAGAGAATATAAGTCATCTACACTTATACCATAAAAAGAGGGGACATCTGAGACCCTACGTAGGATTCTAAATAAAGCAGGAATAAGGGTGGCATTTAAACCTACAAACTCACTCAGAGACAAGCACTGTAGGTTAAAGGACCCAGTTGACCCAGTTAGTCAAAATAATATAATTTACAAAATACCCCGCAATGACTGTGAGTGAGGCCAACTACATAGATCAAACTAGTAGGTCAGGAGTAGTCAGATTGTCGGAACATAAGAATTTAGCTAATGTAAGAATGGTTGACCCCGAGAAGATAAGTAATTCAGAAAAAAGCTCAGCAATTGCAATGCATGCGCTAACACACAACCACACAATAGGGTGGGAGAGGGTTAAAATTCTAAAAAGTAATCTAGGTAGGTGAAGAGAGAGGTTGATTACTGAATCCTTGTTCATCGAGTCTACACCCAACACATGCAATAGAAATGATTCATCACTCATACCCGAAATATGGAAAATACTACTACCAATCAAATCAATTGAAAAATAATGGAACTATATAAATGAAGTTAGGAAGTTGTGTGATTACCTTGATATGATTATGAGCAGTAATAAATTGTGCTCGAAACGTCATCAATAAACATTACTATATAACACTGTGAGACTTTATCAGGACAGAATTTACACATAATGGAATTACACTCTACCACAGTGCACAAGTTTTATCCTTATATCACTGTTGTTTTGCTTTATTCAAATTCATCAAGGGAAATAATTGCATAGAGCCATACTAGTTTGACGGTAGAGTAATATGCAAGAAGACTGAACGTCAGGGACGAGGCTAGCAACCCCTTACCCGGTGAAAGAAACAATATCACAATGACTAAAACTTTAAAGTCTGAAGCTCAATGTGCTACCCGGAACTCAAATAAATGAAAAAAAACCGAACACCAAAACACACAAAATAACTTACCATGCTTGCACCTCAATAGCCACCTCATTTTTCCCCACAGGTTTCACTTCATTCGTATCGACTCGCACATGTTTAGAACCACCAAATGCTGTAAGATTTACGCATTTATACGTTTTAACTTCTTCTGCTTCTTGTTCAGCAGTACCACCAGCATTTGCTGCAGCTGCAGCAGCAGAGGCCGTTCCACTTGTCGCATTCGACTCGCTGACTTTTGTCTCCGTTGTTTCACCAGTTTTTGTATTCGCCTCCTTCTTAGCTGGGCTAATGCTTTTATCTTCTTCGGGCATTTTCAGTTCTTCTTATTCCTGACTACTACAAGTTCTACTAGTGTGTGTTATACACTGTGGATGAAATAAAACTCCGAAAAAACTATTTTCTTCAATGTATAAGATTAATAACTTTTATCCCAATAACAGATGGTCTAAATAATTTACTCAAGAATTTTTGTAGGCTTCAATATCGATTGGTGAAGCGCAGATGGATGGATGGATGGATGACCCGATCAAAAGAGAATTGTAAAACAAGGCTAGGGAATACGGCTTTAACTCACACACACACACACACAATAACTAGCTAGTTAGCAAACAAACAAATATACTAACTAGCTAACTAACTCACTAACAAGGACGAGAAGGGAAGAAAGTAGAAAATTGGGAATGACAGATTTTAAAGCAGCAAAACAAACAGAAGTAGAAGAAGAGAAATAAATATATTTCTCCAAGTTAATTTATTTATCCCAACCCAGTGAATTCCACGTCAACTAATCTTGCCTTGCTGCCTTTCATTCACAATTCACATTTTATAACAGACTGATAAGTATCGATCGATCCGTTAGCTTTGCTCTCTTCACTAGCTAATAATAATATATATATATATATATATATATATATATATATATAATTTCTGTTTGTCTATAGAGGTAGCTAGAGAGAGAGAGGGAGAGAAGGCTAACTAATCTATATAAGGATAAACCAATAGGATACTTTTTGCATTTTAACCAATGAAATTGTCTCATGAGCAAGCAGACACATGTGATTGTGAATAGATATGCCAGGTATTTTATTCTATGAATGTGAAAAGATTGTTTATGTGAAAGATAAACATCAGGCAGTAAGTAAGTAATTAGGGACTTCCTCCTCTTGTCTTTTTATTTATTTTGGAAACACATGTACACACACATGACTGAAACATCCGTTTTGTTCGTCAGTGTGTGATTGTCTGCCTTTGAGTTTGACAGACAAAAAATGCTCACCGCCCGTGGAAGTTTGAGTCGTTGAGTTTCTAAGCTTCAAAATAGCTGTAGGATGGTGAATCTCAGGTCTTTTGGTGTTATTCGTCTGCTTTCCTAACACAAATAGATAATAGAAAATCTGAAATCCCTAGAATTTATCACGCATTCTTTTGAGTTCTCAGTGGAGCATAGAACTTTCAACTTGAGTTCTAAAGTCTCAGGAGTAGTTCACGCACACACACACACACACAGCCTCTGAGACTAAACATCTTAAAATATCTTAGTTTTTGTCTACTATCTACAATCATCGTTTAAAATGAATCTGAATCCAACAAGGACATGACAGAAGATATTAAGTCTGTAACCGTAAATAACGAAACATTTTAACTGATTAAAAATGCCCATTAAAATTTTCAAAAGAATGGATACTGAACAAAGAGTACTATTTTCGGTAAATTCACCATCAGGCTCTACATTTATACACACATTATAGTGCATGAATGGATTAGTGTTATAAACGACATTAATGTTTAAATAATACTCATAGATTACAGCTGAATCGCATCAACATAAAACAAGCTGAATGTCAGAAGAATTAAGAAAGATAATATTAGAAATTCATGAGTTTATAGTTTCTACTGAAGGCCAGGGCAAAAGTAGGGGTTGGACTTGCTTCTTTTGAATACGAATCGCAATAGCCTCTGCTGTTTGGAGCCTGCGGTGCTTCGATGTTTTTGGTAATTTATTTGGCACCCGGTATAGTATAGAGAAGGATTCTTCTACGCTGGCTTTGTGGCCTGTTTGCACCAGATGTCCCAATATCGAGCTGTTAATAGTTTTCACCTCACCTTTACGTAGCCATACTGGTAGATGTTCACGAGTAAGCACGAAAAATCAAGTTCCTAGAGCAACGGCCAATATAACTGGCTCCATAAGCGCACTTGAATTGATGGATACAATTTGAAGTGGCCAGCTAGTCTAGGTACTTCATCTTTCAGTCGAGGAATCATCGGTCGTGTAGAGAATAAGACGTGTAAGTCGCCAGCAGTAAAAGTTCTTTGAGCTGATTTTCTTAATTTCTTCGTAATTATCTCACTTGGTATATCGCCCATGAGTTGTAGTCGTATACAAAGAGGCTTCTTGTTTACAGACAGTGAGTAGTCCTTTTCCGTTTTATTTGTCATGTGTTTCTTGATAAATTTGTCGCGACAGTTATTTTCGATCAAAGTATCATATACAATGCTTAATCCATATTCAATTACTTCTTCTGAGCATATAGCTCTAACTCTGTGGCTGAGGGTCTTCACTAAATTTCTTTTATACTTGATAGAAACGAAGCTGTGAAAATGTGTATATTGATTGTCCTGTCCAAGTGCTTTTTCTATGCAAATTTTTCTTTAATGCTACCATCTGGTTTTCTTGTGAGTAGGACTTCTAGGAAGGCAATTCTGTCTTGGGATTCCTCTTCGCATGTGAATATCATAGCCGAATGAACGAAACATTTGGCAAAATAATATTTGATTGGTTGGAGGATTTCATCATGAGCTGAACCTTTGGAAAACCACCACTACAGTACTGGACAGCTGTTTCGTCAGCCTAGTTTCAGACTATTCAGCAGTACGCAGTTCAAACGCACGACCTTCTCGTTAGAGGGCGAGCTCGTAGACCATTATGCCACTGGGACCAAATCTAATGGCCCATGAATTCTAACGTCTGCCGATTCATGAACTTGTAACCAAGGGCACTGGGTTTGAACCTCTATATTGTCTGTGTACTGTAAAGAATAGTTCTCTAACTGATGTTAGCTCATTATGAAATCCTCTAACTAATCAAAGAAATTCCTACAAAGCCATTACTTGAAAATTTTGAATTTAGTATCTCTATATTGAGAAATTATGTACACCGTTTGCACAGATCATCCGTGTTGCGTCTGCTACCTCTGCCCTCCTTTCATATTGTGTTTCTTTGTGTTCTTTTCACGTTTCCCAGTGTATCTCCACAATAATTTAACATTTACTTTCTCTGACATTGAATCTATCTTCCTGATATTTCATATATATATATATACTACTGATAAATCTTATAAGTAGCATACACCACGAGTCTGTCTATCACACTATCTGTTTAGTGTATTTTTAGCAGAAATCAAGTTATGTCAGTGAATAGGGTATACAAAAGCAGGACACATATTATTATTTTTGATTTACATCGTCGTATCAGTGAAAACATATTCACAATCTGTTGTAGTAGGGTAAAATAAATGACTAACTTAATATCGTTCTAATTTATTGTCAGACTATAATCGATGAACATTTTGAGTTATGATTGAAATAAATCACTTATCTGATGCAATTTATGTTACCTAATAACCTATGGAATAACTTCTAATATGTGATGGTTTAGCCTACTAATTAGATTCTTTGGTAGAAGTGACAGAAGTTGTAACGCCGCGTCTAGAACAGATTGGTCGAATATTCAATTCCTTTATTTGTCAGAGTTGAGCATGTTCAATGGATCTGCTTAAAATGTCAAGAATATATGAGTGACCGTGTGTATAAATATACATGTGAAAATCAGTTACACGTATGGCTATTCTATGTTGCTGGTGTCATCTAGAAGCTAATCTATATTGCATTACAGCACTGAAAAGAACGAAATATTCGCATACTGAGTCATAAGAAAATGACGTAGACAGAGAAGAAAATTTTCTTTACGACGATTCATTTTGATAAGCTGGAACGGAAAACTAACTAATTTTTATATTTGGGTGCCTATTTCCCGGAAAAGGAACCTAATTCCTTCACTCTACTTTAGGAAAAGGAAATTTTGTAGTTCTGATTGCGTTGACTCAGAACTTGACTTCTTAAAAGCTACGCTCACAGAAAACGGTTACCCTAACCGATTTATTGACAGCAAGCAACATGGAAGATAAGCAATCTAAACTGGTCACCGACTCATTTCCAAAGAAAACTTCATTCATGAACTTGAAATTCAGAGTTGATCAAGCTTCAGATATGCTCAAAAACCATCTGTCTAAAGCAGTCAGTTAGATGTTATTTGCAGGAAAATTACATATGACGTTCACCAAACGCAAGTTGTTCTCTACTTCTGTAAAAGATAAGCTCCCCGTCTGATCGCCTCCATGTGCATCTATCAGTTCACCTGCTCATGTGTAGCAAGGTACATTGGCCGTAGTTAGAGGACGCTTTTCACACGGATACAAGAACATATTCCAGCATGGTTCTACAAGGGTAAAGGAAGTGTGTGCAAAGCTCTACTCTGGAACACTTGATCGACTTCTTTCCCTCTGGCAACCCTGACAATTATTTCAAGATCATATATAGAATCCATGCTAACTTGGTGGCCTCGTTTCCTTCGCTGCAGACTTCTAAAGACAGCTGAGGCCTTAGCAGTTCATGATTTTAAGCCAGACCTCTATGTACAATAACCGTAGAGGGAGAGACATTTATTTATTTTGTTTATTTAGTTATTCTATGTATCTTTCGCTTATTACTACGATTATTTTTATTATTACTATCATTATTATTATTATTACTATTCTCACTCTGAATCTTTTCCACTTGAGCCTCTTGACATTCTAAACCCAAAATTATCAATTTTTATATTTTTTTTAGTTTTACTATATTGAATTCTATCTTATCAGATTTCACACCATGTTATGTAACATTTCATATTCTTCTACTAATCCTATAATTATGTACCCCTTTCCAAAATCCATACGCCTTGTGTATTGTTCTATATATATGACATTAATTGTTTAGCTAATTGACACTGAACTATGAATATAAACACAAATATTTCATGCTATTATTATTTCATGTATTCATACCTTTGATCTAATTCCCTCACCGGATAAAACTTCTTAAAAACCATATATATACGATTGTACAGCTTGATAATAAATTTGTCGTTGAAAAGAGTCTCTTCGCTGAATGTATTGTGTTCTTAATGCTACAGTGGGAATTATTAAATTATATATATTTTATTATTATAATATCTAATCGCTATTTGACGATAGTTATTGCTAAAACAATTAGTCCCTTTTATAAATTTGGATAGTGCTATTAGAAGACGAAGATTATCTGAAAAACAGTGTGTGATGTATTTGCGCTATACATTTCGAACAGTCTGATCCCTGAACACATTTACTTGTCAAGTCGATATATATGAAAAAATAAAGGGTAATTAAATTAAACAAAGTGACAAAAAAAGGATTTAAGAATGAATAACACAACGTCTAATTACCATACAACGAAGAAATAAACGATAGGATTCTCATACAAAGGTTGAATTCGGTCATCTGTAGAACCGGTTTGTAATTATCCAGCTGCAAACCTCAAAAGTGCACAAGTGATTATGTCACATCCCACACAATTTATCAATTTTCATGTGTTTGTGGATACACATATATAGGAAGGAGTAATCGCGCTTTGCATATGAGGGTGTAACAGCTTATCCCAAAATGGTTAGAAAAGCCAATAGATCCAGGTATCAGATTACCAACTTCGTCTATAGCTAAACATCTAATCGAGATGAACCATAAGATTGATGTTAACTCAGCTTTTAAGGTCATTTATAAAAACGGTCAAGGGCCTTTATTGAAATACTCTGGGGCTATAGCTATTCATAAATTTAAAGCCGCCCTTGTGTATTCAAAAACAGTTTGTTATTACTCTTAACTACCTTGGTAACCCTTGTTTGGTTGGATTGTCAAACGTTATGTCAGCCATTCTTAAATCTTTTTTCTCGCACTTTGTTTAATTTAATTGCCCTTGATTTTTTCATATATATCGACTTGACAAGTAAATGTGTTAGGGATCAGACTGTTCGAAATGTATAGCGCAAATACATCA